TCGCTACCTTTTTCAATCTTTTCCTTCCCCTACCTTCTTTTCCACTCTTCTTCTGCTTTTTCATTATGATTTCCAATCTTTTCCGGACAACTATCTCTTCCTCGATAATTCGAACAAAATTCATACCAACTTTAAATTCGAAATTCAGATATTTAAAGACATCTGGCAACCCGAGGGGGTTAAGTCCCGTCTCCCAGAGCGTAGATTTACGGTCTTCGATACCGACGGGTTAACGTTTCCTGGTGTCGTTTCATATTTTTTTCGAAAGAACGGGCTCGTTTTTCTGGATACATTTCTGTCACCCTGTCCCATTCTCTTTCCTTCTTCCGTCGCACGCACACTCTCGGGCTGATTTTCACTGTTGGCGAGACGACGTAAGTCGCACATAAGGTGAAGGTATCGATTGCGCAACATCGATATTATGCAACCCGCAGCGGTTTCCTGCTGTTATCTAATTACTGAGAATAGAGGAACTCGAGGAGAGGAGGTCGCGGCTGATCGTGAATCTGATTCGAACTGTTCGAACCGAAGCTTTTCATAATTAAATAAACTGTGGATCGGATAAGTCTTCGATATCATTTTCTAAAGGTAATTAATACTCCGTTTAAATGATGACACTTTTTCCTAATATGTACGTCGAATAATAAAACGAGGTAGATTTTATGAAGGGTCAGTTGCAATTTGCTTTCGTAAAAGGAACTCGACGAAGAGTAGCGTATTAGCGATAGTCGTCCAGGAAGTAGGTGCGTCGAACGTAGTTCCTACTTTCGAGGCCGAGACGGTTGTAATAGCGATCGGCATCGTGCTGGTTACCGTATCGTCGCATTCAGAACAGAGACAACGGAGATAACAGAGATAGCAGAGGGAAGAGAGAAAGAGAGCAAAGTTGTTGGTAATCTGTGGGATAGGACGAAGAAGCAGCCAGGCATGTCCGAAGGAAAGGAAGCTCCGCGGACCTCAGTTCCGCTCGTTCTCCTCTTCCTCCATCTCCTCGGTTCCCAACCTTTTCCATGTTTCTTTCCTCGAATATCTAGGTACATATACCACTTTTAACGCATTATTTTTTATTAGAAATTTCTCCAGTTTCTATATACCTGTGTTACCGAATATACAGAAAGTATCATCGTTTACCAGGGAAATAATGTTCATTTGGTATTTCGCGGTATTTATATCGAACGCGTTACGGAAGAAGTCGAATTCCAACCGTCTATCCTTGTGTCTAGAGACACGTCTATGCGAGGTCGACTCTATTTTCGCCCTGGTATCCGTCAGCTCGACCTCTTCCTCTGATTCCGAGGAAATCCTATGCCCGACTTTCTTCCTCTCTTCTCCTCCGAACATTTCGGCCGATTGCCAGGAACACTCCATAAAGAATCTCACAGATTCTTGCATCTTCGTCCATCGAAACGATCCCTAATTTTATCTACACCCGTCTGTGTTCAAAATTATCACGACCCTTACTTCTGATTTCCTCTTGTAACCGGAAATTCAATACCACTGTGAAATTTTCAAAAATACCAGTGTCAGATATGCAGACCGTTGCTTATCGTGAAAATATAGTACGCGTTACTCTTACGACGCGAAATGCGGGAAACGCGCGTTGGAAACGAGTCTTGAGTTATAAAGTACCGGTTGCAACGGTACGGTATTACGTATTATCTATAAGTTGTATTTCTCGGTGTATGCATAGGTTTTTTTGCCAACGTTGGGAACACGAGTCCGTTACAGGCGTCCAACAACGACCCGTTGATTTTGATTTACAACCAAATTTTGCGCTATTCGTTGGCGAAAGGGGGGTAGCGCCCTGGGGCACCCATCCGAGTGCAGGTCGAAATAAAAAATTGGTTTAGTTTGAAATCCGGTAGGACAGAAGGAATGGTGTATTAGGAAGTGTTTGTGGATAACGATGGTGTTCATGGTTGTCCATTTGGGTAGTTGCGCGATGTAGGAGTCGAAAGGCTAAGGCGCATACGTAATGCGTATCTAGAAGCGTGGGAGCCACGCTCGAACGGCTTCCTCTCACGGCACTGCCACGCTTTATCTTGCGTTTATAAATAAGCCAACATCTCTCCTTCTCTCTCACTCTTACGATCTGTCCCTTTTTCTTTTTGTTTATCCATCTCTCTCGAGTCGAACGGACCGACTCAACTAGAAGGAGGTGTGCTCTTCAGTTCCGGCTTCCAGCCACCAGTGTCTATTAATACTCGATTCTAGTCTCTACTTTGCTTTCCCCTTCCGTCACTTGCACCACAAACGTGATACGCTATTGCGATCCTTTGTCTCAACCTGTTCGCCCAATGCTCTTACAACCGAACCTCTTATCAATTTTCGAAAAATATCCAACCTAGAAATAGGGACAAGACCAAGTTCGAAACAGAAAAATTTCATTTTGCGTCCAGACTTTTTACAATTGAGGAATGTACGGTACTGACCGAGCATGGTGAGATTCCCTAGGAAAAATGACGACGTTTTTGAAACGTTGCTCCTTAATGGATTAGAGAGTGTCATGTTTTTAATCGATCTTCGTCGCAAATGATTAGACACATCTGGTCGGATTTTTATTGACGAAATTTTATTGAACAGCCGTATACAATTATCGGGTCGATACACCTTAGTATATATAGATAACCGAATGATGAATTTCTTTGGTTAATCAGACTCGATCTTGATGAATTTGATTAATTATTGGATACTGTTATCGAGAGATTATGGGGATATTTTTTTTCTGTCCGAAACGTAAGTGCGTGTCGTTCGCACGATAATCGGCTAGAAACGGAATCCGTGTCAACGCAAAACAGAATCCGCGTGGCCGAGAAATGCACTCAATTATGCAGGACATTCGAATCACGGGGGCAGAGATATTCTAGTCGCGTGTCCGCAACCAAATCTGATTCGATCGATTGCGGCTATTCGAGAATTATCTCACCCCTTGCCTCTCACCTCATCCTATACTGCTTCTTCGACCGCCAAACTCATCAGTTAAAACATCATTTTCAAATTAAAAAGAAAGATCGATAAGACTTTTTTCATTTCAACCCTATATGCCATCGTGTTTTGCATATTAATGCAATCTGATAACATAAAAGCATACACCCGTCAAGTACCACTTATGACACAACAAAATTAATTAAATTTCGATTATCAACCATTTAGAAAATTGAAAATTTAATTACGAAAAACAATTCAGATATTGATCCTTTATCTCGTACTATTTCAATTTATCTTATCTCGCTTTGTACACGACGGTTGATGATCGTATGTAATTGATAACGAGTATAACTTCCGTGGATTTGGTGCAGTGATAAGTATTCTTCAAATGATCGTCAAAGAATTCCCGACAAATATTTCTGATTAATCATCGAACTATGTTTGTTCTATGTTATTCCTTTTTATATAGCACTTAAAGACTGGTAAAATATCTTCAGTATTTAAAATAAAAGACATACGATTATCTGAGAGATTATTTAAGATAACCTTACCGGTATATTCCTGTACATAGAAAGGAATATATTTTATATTTGAAAGTAATGCTTCCTAAAAAGGCAAAGAGCATATCTTTTTATTCAATTTTTCTATCAAAAAGCGATAGACTATTACAGAAAATGACGATAGAAGATATATTTCTTCGTAATCACGATCGGACAAAGAAAGGGAGAGAGAAGTTTAGTAATGTTGACGCAATCGAGGAATTCCTCCAGCGAGACGGAGGAAGGAAATTGCGTTGGCCAATTAGAAATCGCGGGAAACCGCAGAAAGAAAGGCCAAGAGACAGCGAGGAAACTACGAGGAAGAAGGAGAGAGTAAAAAAGAGAGGGAGGGAGAATGAGAGAGAAAGAGAAGCTTTCGAAACATCATCATACATACTAAGCTACCATGATGATTATTCAATTCGTGATACCTTTTTCACTTTACAATCTATTTAAAATAAATTCAAATACCACCTCCTCTTCGCAGAAATAAAATTGTCAGGGAAAATGAACTGATTATCGACGAATAATCAGGATACCATTGCAAATCAGTGAATGGTCGTTGATTGTACTTGACTAATTTTTAGAAAATCGCTTCGTTAGAATCTCTCGAAGACTAAAATCAAGGCTTGGTACCTGACAGACAATAATCTTGATTGGTTAACGAAACAGGTGCACAGGGTGCCGTGTTTCTCCCCTTTCTTCGGTTTTCTTCCGCAAGAATCGGCAGCGGAGTTTGAAGAAGGATCCCATCGAAAAGCGATGCAGGTAGCCCACATTTCTGGACGCCCACAAACCTGTTTTACCTGTTATATCCTGGCTGACTTATGAGTACCACCAATTCTTATTCTCACTCTTTTATTTCCCTTTTCCCAGCGATCTATCCTCGACGAAGGGAGATAAAGGAAGGAAATATCACATCAGTCGAATCAGCTGATCGTGCATTATGTGTCAAGAAATTTCACAATCCCCCTTGTTTCTGAAATTCTGGAATTTTTACGGGATCTTCTTACCCTTCGATGGTCTTCGAGCTATCATCGCTAAAAAATAGGAAGTAGAATTTCACAAGAAGAAGAAAATAATATTGACACAAGTTTCAGAGACAGATTGAAAGGTGGGAAGGTGTATTGAAAAGTTTCCCTGGAAAAATATTGTGTCGGTGGTTCTTTTAGAACAAGATCCCATGGAATTCGAGTTGAAGATTTCGTAGGTCCCTGAGTAGGGTAGAAAGGAGCCGATAACTTTTCAGGCGGATCCTTTCTTCGATCGATCAGACGCAAGCGTAAGCAAGGAAGATCCAAGGAGTCCATTGTGGATCATCGTTCTTTCAAAAAAGAAAAAAAAAAAAAAAAGATTTCGACCTCGAGCCCTGGCACATACCTCTACCATGATTAATGTTACGCCTCCTCGGGAATCTTTTTTCGTGCTTGACAATCCCTGGAAAATCCAGGTGGACCAACAGCGTTGCCTTTTAACCCCGTGTCATATTTAAAGGGAAAAAATCGTTCATGATTTTATTTTTCTCTGTTATAGACAGTGGTATATGATTTTCAACCAAGGGTGGATTATTTAGCAATTTGAGAAAAAAAAAAACATCTTTTATCATGGGTGCCATTCAGAGTGACGAAAAGCAGAGCGATCAGAATTTCGAATGGTTCGTTTTTAGAAAATGGAATTTGTTTTGTCGCGGTTACGTCAACGCATCGAGCGAAGAAAGAAAGGGAGATCTTGCAGCCTCGAAGAATGCCACGTAATGATGCTGCACATCCGGGAGGACGACTGAAATGACGTCGTGCCCCTCCACTTCAATAAGTCCGTTCCCTTCTTCTTCCGTCTCTTTCTTCCCTGTCTCATTTTTCACCTCTGTATTTCATCCACCGTTTATGCCAATTATTTCGACTTTCCACCATTTTTCTCCACTCTGTTTCAACACTTTTGCTCCTGTTCAATTATCTCAGCACCGTTCCCCCCCCCCCCTTTTTTTTCATTGGAAGATTTCTGTGTTCTTGAACTTTGATTTTCCTTCGTTTCATCGGTTTCTCTCACCGCGACTATGGTGATTGCTGTTGAAATTAGACAGAGGTGAGAGATGCAATGGCGTAATTGCTCGAGAGCATAGAATGGAGATGAAGAAAAGAGAAGGAGCGGTGTGGATCCCGACACGGCTTTTCGACATCCATTCCCATGCTTCGCTACCGTTGAAATACGGGTCATGGAAATGACTAATTTTTCAATTAGATATTTTCAAACGTTTCCTCAGAATCCGTCTTCAGGAACGCAAAGAGAATTTGAAATAATATTAATATTAGTTTAATTTCACAAGAAACTATATAAAGAAAAAATTACGCCTTAATTTCTTAATCTTCATATCGATGACGAGTTAAACATGACTTCATCAATAGATTATTAAAAATGTCTGCATCCGAAAATACTGAAGAATTAACGATACTTGATATGGGAATTTTTTTTTTTCATATCTTAGGTGATAAAAGATTTCTACTTCCAATCAACACGTGAAAACATTCTTGTTACGTATTATTAATATTGAATAATAATTTGTAAATCAATTTATTGCTTTTGTTAATGTATCAAGAATATTGATAATCAAAGTACTGATAAATGATTAGTACTATGTAATGTCCCATAAATATCATTTAAATAATTTAATTGCAAGAAAGGACTGTATGGAAATATGTACTTTTTTAATCCACTGTATTTTTATCGAAAGGCTGATAGATGACCGTAAAGACGTCTTTATGCAAATTTCTCTAAGGAAATAAAACAGGCTGCAGATATACTCGTTTGCGTCACTCAAAGTGAAAGATTATTCATTTGTATCGAAACAAAACGAAGAAGTATTTAATTGAACAAATAAGAATCGAAAGACAAAGGAAGGAGAAATGATTTTTTGGAGATTGTCACGGTATCAATTCGTTATCTCTTATCAGCTTATCAGAATTATTCGATTTGATTACTTCCAGTCTGGTTTTATGATCTAACGTTTCTACCGGAACGTCACATTCCTCTTTGTCTATAAAAATATAATTTTTTTCTTTTTTTTTCCGGTTCAACTAAGCCGGATCCTTTTCCTTGAATTACTTTCTTATCATTTTGTTATCATCCTCGTGACTCATATGTGCTGTGTTGTTCTTCCGACTAATTGTAAACTTCCAACGTACTGAATCTTTGTAATTTAAACGTTTCATACGCGATAGTTTATTCAACTACCCTTGTTCGTATGTGAGAGGTTAGTTTTTCTTTCACAAAGAAGCATCGTTTCTTTTTGTGCAATGTAAGAAACGTAAATGTAAATGTAAACACAGAATTCTTGAATCATCTTGAAGTATACATACTATTATACGCTTTCATAGATGCGCAATGTTTAAGCCGCTAGCTTTTCAAATGGCGCGCCAATTTTACTATCGGTGAAACGCAAAAATCGCAAATAATTTCAAGTTACTTATTTGAAACTGATCAGATAAATAAAAAAAAAGTTCAATAACAGACGTTTCTGTCGATCGAAAAGAAAAAAAAAAAAAAAAAGGAATGCTTCGACCTCGAGGAGACATTTGAACTCAGCAAAGAAGCAGGTCCGCGTCGACAGTCAGAATCGCGATTACGAGGAAGCTACGAGGAAGTCGGTAAAGCCCCCCACCATCGTTCCATGGTATTTCCCACTCGATTACAACGCTTCGATTATTTCCGTTCGCGCCGTATAATCGGCCATCTATCCATCCTCGTTCGACCCGTTGAACGGGTACGATCCGGTGGTCCATTTGTCTCCGTTCTGTGAACGCGTAATACGGCGCGGTTATCCGCGCATGCGCGCTGCCACGAGACCGTCGGGAAGAGTGGGGGGTGTGGCGGCAAGCTTCCAGCGGAGAGCGCGACTCGCGGCTCAGTCGTTCGCCAGCCCCGAGAGAGAGTGGCTTTGTTTTATCGTATATACGAATCGTGTGACTTTCAAACACCAACTCGAGACAAATCGAATGGTGTCCGAGGTGAAAGGAGATCCGTTTCGTGTTCCGCGTCCTCCTCGAATCCGTCTGCTTTACCCCTTTACGAACCTCTAATAACCTCGTCTCGATAAGAGACTCAACCGAGAGAGAGAGAGAGAGAGAGAGATAGAGAGAGAGAGAGAGAGACAGAAGAGGAGAGTGTATTCGAGTGGTGCCGACTGTGTGATACACTTAGCCGCGTAGATAGACTCTGTGATATACGCGTACGTACACATACACACATGGATATTTCGATACCTCTGGACTTTTCTCATAACGGGGATACTGTTATGCTGATATCCGTATAAAGATATCTGAACCTTTAACCGTTCATCGCGGATGTACGTTGTGTGCAAAAGATAATAACGTAAACTACACATGATTATTAAGAGATATTTAGAGTGGATGTATAAATAAATCCGCGTATAGAAGAGGTGGAGAAAAGAAGGAAAATAATAGGGAAATAGATAAGAAGAGGCGGAAGAAAAGATACACGTGCGCGTGGTCGGTCGGTGTCTCGAGGATACCTGTGGATGCCAGCCTGGACTCGCGACGTATTAGGGCGCGGATTTCTGCCCGATGACCGACGACGAGATTCGTTTCTACTTGCTAGCCGATCTCCAACACTGATATTACGCCGCGTCGGACGGTTTATCGGCTAAGCCGCAATTGAGGTAACTACTTTATTGTCTATATTTCCTACATCTTCTTCTAGCGTGAACTTCCGCGTACTGCGAGACACGCTTCTAGTAATTTTAATTAAAAACAACCGACTACTCCATTGTCGTTTTACATTTAATTTAATTTCATAATTTAACATATTTAAATTCTATTTAATGGTAAATGCTTTTAAACTTTTACATGTATAATTATAAATTTTTTTTTTTTCTTTTATGACGCTTTGACGTAAATAGTGATTTTATCAGGAAAATTATTTTAAACGCTAAAGGCTTTGAGTCGTGTGAATTTTTCTGGACTCGCTGTCGACAACCTGTCTCGCATAGTTCAGCAAATTACAGCCTGTATTAATAACACCTATTAGAATTATACTCACGATCGCTATCAGCTATATTAGGAACAGAGTTTACTCTTCGCACTAATTACTAATTTCGTAGGTTCAATTAAGAATATTTAGTTTTTACTTTTTTACAACCGTAAAGAAAATCACAGCATCGCAGTTATTTTCTAATTAGATGTTAATCGTGCTGTCGTCATCCGTCTTTGTTCGCTTCCTTCGTTTTCCGGAAGTAGCATTAGAATGGAAGACACCATATTGTAAACACTGAAAGCGGATTACTCAAGCCTCCGTGTAAATACCGACGCGCAGTGTTTAACTGTCAATTTGAGTAAGGATTTTTAAGAATCATTTAACCGCTTCAAGAAATTATTCTCGCTGATAATTTATACGCGGCTTATCATCGCCATGCTTGTTGATCGCATTTAGGCACATTGTAAACAAACTTCCCTTCCGTTCGTTTCTTCTGCGCACAACAAAGCACGTGACTGTGTAATGATACAGGAAAGAATATCTCGAAAAATGTTATGTTTAATTTATCTTGAAATTAATCGATTCTTGTGCAATTTCCGATTGTTAAGATAATTTTGAATAACGATAAGACTATTTTAAGAATCCACTGGATTTCCCTGTTACTCGCGACAGGAAAGTAATTAATTAAAATCATCAGAGGAAAAGAAGTTTATTGTTCGATAATACGGTTACAACATAAATGATGATTATTTGACGAACTGATAATTAGTTAATTGGAAAAAGAAAGGTTTAACCTCTTTATCCTGTAATGCTCTTTAATTTCCAACTGAAGGATTTATACATACACACACGCATCCGGTAATACGTATAGAGTTATCCGTGTTTGGCGCAAGCGCACACGCATACACGGAAAGGTTAAGTCAGTGACGCGACGGCTAAGCGGAGTGGCTGTTGCTTATGCTCCTTTATCGTTATTCAGGAAGTTGCACGTTATCATTTACATAACACGTGAGCTTGAACAAAATCATGCATAATTCCTTCCTCCTTAGCGCAGCCGCGTTTACCACTTCTCTCGTTATTTTCCCTTTTTTCCTTCCCCAGTTCGGAAAAACAGAACGACTTTTTTACCTCCGTTCGCGTTCAATCTCTCGTACATTAGCCTCGAACAAACGCGTCATTTGTATCCGCGCAACATGAATCGCGGCCTTTGCCTTGTTCTTTGTATCCGGAAGCAATTCTTTTCATTTCAATTAGAATTCATATCGACGCGCGAATTTCCCAGCATTTTACGTAACCGAGATTCTTCGTTAGAATGGTAACGATAATTTTAGCTTGAATTTTAGTCGGCTATAATTAAACCTAATTAAAGATTAAATAATACTTTAAGTAATAATTTAAAGAAAATATATTTAGCGCAAATTTTCTATACGTTTTCGCGTCCATTTTCTATCGCAGTAAATAGAGCTGATAAGAGGTTAAAGGGAAGAAACGGTGTAGAAGGAAGAGGAAGTGGGTAGCGAGGAGGGCGGTGGGAGGAGAAGAGAAGAAAGCCTTTCGAAACGTAATTCCGGCCGGAAGAGCCGGGAACCCGGAAGTAAGGGAGGAAGCACTACGGTAGCGGGGTGGTAAGGGAGGTGGAAAATTTTCCAGAGCCTCGAGGGAGGGCTCGATCGATCGTTAAGATCGTCGACGAGGTGTCGACGTCTAAAACCGTTGGCAAACTTTTTTTTCACCTTCTTTCATTTATTATAACATTAGTGAAATTTCAAAATGGCTAACCTAAGCAAAACGGAAATATAAAAAAAGAAATCAAATATATTCGTCGAGCAGAGAGAGAGAGAGAGAGAAAAAAGAAGGCGAATCCCGTAACGAGCAACATTCCAGAAAATGTGTCCGTCTGTTTCTCTCTTTCTCTCAGCAGAGAGAGGAGAACCGGTCTGTATCCGGACCGGAAGTGCGGACCTTGGACACTTCTCTTTCTCTCCAGGATCACCCGAGACTCTCTTTCTTCATTCGAAAGGGACGAATACTTTACTCGGTTCGATCCTCTTCTTCTTCTCCTTCTCCTCTCATCTCCTTTTTCTTGTCTCTTGCTTCCTTTTCCGTTTCTCTGTTTCTTGGTAAGCTGTCTGCAGAGAGAGGTATTCCTTCTTTCTCGTTCGTCCGGTTAATTCCCAGAGAGAGCAAAAGGAAGCAAGACGGTCGCGATAGATGGCATCCGGTTCCCCTCTTTCGAGGAAAACTCGAAGAGGAAGTCGCGTTTAAAATATCTTCGATCGGATTCCTTAAAATCCCTTTTCCCTTGCAATTTTCTTCTAAGGATGATTTTATTAATAACAATATCCCCGTGGAAAATTACAAGGCTCTGGGTTAATACTTGCCGGAGCCGGTGTATGTATTTTTAACGCGTTGCCATTCCACGGATTCGTATGGAAATCAGACCTCGCCGATCCTATGCGATACGTGTTTTGCGTAGACTGTTACATTTACAGGCGAGAATTATTTTAGCGACAAGCAAATAAAGCTCTTTCTCACACTCGGTTTTGGCTGCTCGATATTGCGGTAATAACGATCGACTCTGGTCGCCGCTGGTATTATTGCGGTACTTCCTCCGTCCCGTATTTATAAACACAGACTTCCTAGTCGCTCGATAACTTGCCAAACTCTCTTCCCTTTTAACACCACGCTACGATTATCGTGTCAAAATAAACCGTTTCGATCGTGCACGATTATTTTAATTACGCCCATCGATCGTAACCCAGATTCAAATTAGACGTTGAAATTTCCCCAAAAATATACGTTTGCATAAATAATTAGATAAACGTGAGATTAGAATAGGGAAGAGAGAGAGAGAGAGAGAGAGAAAAAAAAAGTAAAGATGCGTAGAGAAGGAATGTTTTTCGTCGAGTCGAGAAAGATATGTCGGGAGGAAGGAATACCTTCGGAGTTTGGAGAGTAAAGTGCATCTTCGGAGGATGGTTTTCAAGTTTACTGGGCCACTTGAAAGAAACCTTTTTCTCCCTCTCGTGGAGGAGAGGGTGGACGGGGATGGGTTGGCAAAAGACGAGACAAGAAACGCGAAGGGATAAAGAGAGAAGAAAGAGGCTGGTTCCCATGAGGAGGAGCTGCTGCCGAGTGACGAGGGTGAAGCAGCCTTTTTATCGACTTCCGGTCGGCGTTAGTTGCACGCACGTGCATCCGAGGCTTCGATGCTCTCTTTGTACCTCCGCAGAGATTCTCATTCCCCTCTACCCTAGGCCCTTCCTTCTTTCTTCGAGTAACAGGTAGTTGGAACTTTCCAAGAAATTTCTCCACCTTCCACACACTTTCGGCTTGTCGAATTAGCTTCGTTTAATTTGATAATCCATTAACGCGAGATAGGGATGCTGGGTGAAAGAAATTCATATATTTCAAGATGATCAAGTAGAGGAAATTATTTGAATAGACGGAAGAAATGAATTCAAGACGGTAAGAAGCTGTTTGCAATCGCTTTTTCCGGGAGCAGTTCACAGCCGTGAAGCGATTGAGGGTATGAAAGAGGGCGGAGAACACTAACCACGTGGGTTGCTCGCTCGTCTGATAAACCTCTGTTCGACGACGTGTCACTGACCCTCTCCTTTATCCCCCCTATTCCTACGTTATTCCTCTTCCCTTCTCTTTCTCTCTCTCGTATTTTTATTTCATCCTTAATCAGAATTATTTTTAACAAAATATAGACATGTAGTTGAGATTTTCTGATATTTGAAATATACTATGTTTGATAATTGCTTGTAAATTTTGAAAAATTGAAAATGAAAATCTGTTGAACGGTGCCATCTAACTCCCGACGACGTAGAAGGATTACAGTAAGTGGAGGGCGTTGATTTGTTTGTGTGTACCGCATTGCTGCTCCACCACTGTCTCCTATCTCGGCCCGCATTACTCTTTTCCGATTCTGTTTCTCTCTTTCACCGTAGGGAGGAACGAGAAAGTAAGTACACTTCCTCGTGAAGAGACGGCGAGAGCATGACGTAAGCGGACACACGAGCATCGGGTTCACCGACCAACTCAAGGTCGCGAAAACTCCGGGCTTTTCTTCTTTTCCCTCGTTCGGTGGTCGGTAAATCGATCGCGGGGTAGTTTTCACCCGGTACGGGATTATGTACTTGCTTCTCTCGATTCTTACTTATTAGAGACGGCTGAAAGAATGTCGCAATCTAAGGATAAGAGACGGGGCGCAAGAAATTACATAATACCGGCTGTGCATCTACAGAGAACCGCAAAGAGCGAAGACTTTCTCCGATCTCGTTGCACTGTGTTTACCTCCTCTATAATTCACGTTACGCTCCAACTGCACGATGATTTATCGTCCATGCACTCTGTTGATCAACGATTATACGCGTTTCGGTATTTCTTCCCTTACTAGAGCTGGTTGCATCGTTGCAAGTAGATGCACACAGGGTATTCCATGTAATTGCACCAAGCTGCGCTGCCCTACTAAGGGCTAAGTATGATCGTCCGAACATTTTCATTTATTTTCAAATGCTTCCCCGCTACGAATATTAATTAACAGACTTTCCGTGTTCCGAAATCATTTGATATGCAACGAACCTAACAGTAATGCTTTCTTGAAATTAACAGAATTGCGAAATACCTTCTCTTTTTTCTGCTTGCATCGTTAGTCAGTTAAGTAGCTAATTATTTGTATTGTAACGGTAGTGAATCAGCTTGTTTGATCGTTGATATTATCCCGTGTTATCGATGAATCAATAGTAGATTGCCTCATAATGAAGCACGACAGAAATTTGAAACTACCGTGGAGATAAAGAAAGAGAGAAAGAGAGAGGAAACACGGTTGAGTACCCGGAAGAAAAGAGAATCGACTCTTCCATCTGCGATAAATCTTCCTCAAGGATCTTCCGCCTTCTACACCTTTAATTAAACGAATTCGTGCTTAATTCCTTGTTCACGCTTCTTTCTTTCGTTAAACAAAGTTTATCTTTAAACTCTGAAAAGAGAAAAAATATTCGCGTTGATGTATAGATGGTTTAGTTAGCGATAATATTTTTATAGATCACTTTGAATCCGTTCAATGATCGATGAAAAGAAAATTTTATGATAGACGGAAAGGAAAAGTGATTATTCATATAGGAGGATAAAATTTGTGAATCTCATAAAACTTAGGTAAAATTGTAGTAGCGTCGTTTGTGTTCTTGTTAGTTACGTAAGAACTCCTATGAATAAGACATAACGAACCTCTGACATTAAGGAAAACGAAGATCGTACAAAACACTCGTTTCGACACTGTTTACGTTTGTATTTACATTTATCGGTACCTTATTGGAATTTATGTTCCGACGTTTATGTACCTTCAGGAATTTTGGAGTGTCAAAGTTTCAGAATTTTTAAAAAGTAATTTGATTTTGTAATTTACGAAAGTTACATAATGGCTCGTTAGTTTTAACGATCTTTCAATTGGTACAGAAAATACTCGGAATAAATTCATTGGAGAGAATTTGAAAGGATCGTAGCGAAGACTTGAAAAGGCAATTTTTTGCTCGGAAGATCATTCGAGCGATTTCTTGCATTGATTACGACTTCCGGCACGACTTCCTCCTTTCGTTGGCTTGTCACGACCTCCAAGTTAAAAAAAGGTCCGTTCTGTATTCTCGATCGATCGCATTCGTCTAAGAAATTTCCTTTCATTATTCGAATAAAATAATTTTTATGATTCGTTCTTCGATTTCTTTCTCTCTTTCTCTTAGTTCCGCCATAATGCATTTCCTGATGCAAAGACAATGGCACATTAACCTTCGCATACCAACATCTCTACCTCCTTTCTTTCTCTCGAAAATAATTTTTCGACGATCGATTGTGAAAAGTATACGAGGCTCGATTGAAAATCAACCATGGGATTTCTGGTTGAAAAATTGACCATTCCGTGCATTGTTTGTTTCAGAAAAGTGACGAGACAAAACAAGGCGTGTTATGAAATTGTTGCCGTCGATCCAGCTGCCACAATTGCCGCCGGTTTCGGCCGGGGGTGGAGTGACGGGTATGGAGTCTCGACTGCCACCGGGTATATCTTTGCCTTTCAGCCCTACAGAGTTACTTTGGCGATACAGCCCCGCCATGAATTTTCCACCCTCTCACCCATCACCCAGCCCCTTTCTCGACTTCAAGACTCACTTGCCGACAAGCCTAGGTGAGTCGAATTCGATAATGTCCAACGACTAGAAAATTAATAATAATAGTAATGAAAGTAATAAAAAGTGAATTTTAATGTTGAACAGCTTCGGATCCAAGGTTGTGGTCCCGCGAGGATGTGGCGACGTTTCTGCGATGGGCTGAGAGGGAATTCGACTTGCCGAAATTCGACATGGACATGTTCCAAATGAATGGCAAAGCGCTTTGCCTGTTGACAAAAGCCGATCTGGGAGAAAGATGCCCAGGCGCCGGCGACGTGTTGCACAATGTGCTCTCGATGCTTGCTAGAGACTTTAATCAATTCCAAAGGTATCTTCCGAGTAGCCCGGTTACACCCACAAGACCGTCCGCTTATCCTCTCAGTCCTCACTCTCATCCTCCGACCCCAACTTGGACGGAGAATTCGTACACCGCGAACTTGGCTTCGTTAATGTCTGCGAATTCGGTCACCTTATCGCCAGCGCCGTCGGTCGATAGTCAAGCTGGTTCACCGGGGCACATGGAGAACAATCAAAGTCAGGTTTACAAGAGCGATTCCGACGAGGATAATCAACAACCGGCTACCGGAAGCCCCCCAGCTACACCGACAGCTCTAGCCGCGCAAAGGTTAAGCGAAGTTTGCGTTAAGGATCAGCTCAGTCCTACGTTAACGCAACCGATGATGCCTTTGACGCCCGGTGCCTTCAGAACCAACACCAGCAACGTTGCCAGAGAGTTTTTCCCTAATGATTCACCAGAACCTAACACCAGTAAGTATTTGTACAGTCTCTTAAGAGTCTCACCCCATGGTCGTCGTTGTGGATAGGAAAAATGCCGATTTACAAGGAAGGAGAGGCTAACAATTTTTTTTTAACAATTTTCTTTGAAATTGCAGACGGTAGACTTCTGTGGGACTTCCTTCAACAATTATTAAACGACCCATCGCAACGATACACGCACTATATCGCGTGGAAGAACAGGGAAATGGGTGTGTTCAAGATCGTCGATCCTCCTGGACTGGCGAGACTCTGGGGCATCCAGAAGAATCACCTTTCAATGAATTACGATAAAATGAGCCGAGCTCTTCGATACTATTATCGCGTGAATATTTTACGAAAGGTCCAAGGAGAACGACACTGTTACCAGTAAGTTCTCGCCGTTTAATTTATTCAGATATTCAACTAAAGAAACAGCAGCCGCTTTAAAAGAAAACAATTCTCTTTGTGTTCAGGTTTCTGCGAAACCCAACCGAGCTGAAGAACATAAAGAACATATCTTTGCTGCGTCAGCAAATGCGGATAAAATTAGAACCGGAAGAAGAAGGCGGAAACGGCGTCGAGCCGGAAACCGATATGCCGACAGACCTTTCGATGTCTAGCATGAGTCAGCCATCTAATGAGCAACAACAGCAATCCCAGCAACAACCGTCGCAACAGCAACAACCGCTACCTCTTCACGATCCACCCGCGAAATACAGAAGTCACGCGTATAATCTGGTTAAAACTAATCAGGAGTCGGAAGAGAAGAAGTGACGCGAGACGTAACGTTATTTCAACTACGTATTTGTGTCTCTGATAAAATGGATTCTTTGTTCACAGCACATGCTTGCTTGTGACCGTGCTTGTAGAAAGGTATCCGTAAAGATTATGTTTACAAAAACATTCGTTACCAACGTCGTAACAGGATTTGTGAGAAAGCCGCCGAGTCATCGACGAATACAGATGATAGAAGACTGAAAAAAACAGCATATTCTACCAGTTAACAGAATATCAATCCACCAAGAAGAATATCTTGGTATGATCGGTAGGATACTGGCTTGTTTTAGATCATAAAATCCATCATCAGTGGTGGTCGGTTTTTCAACCGTGAACAATGTCCAATTGTTGACCGATTACGAATCTACTTAACGATCGGATAATCAATTTACCCGCGCTTCGAATCGTTAGATGATTGGTCACCTATTCGATCTCGTCGTGAGAGAAGTAAGGAGCCAGTTGTCGTGTTGAAAATTGTGAAGGACGCTTCGATGAAGCTAAAACTTTCGCGGATATTCCGCCGTCTGTTCTCCATCCTTCGTGTTTTAACGCACGTGCGCGAGTGTGGAACGTTTCTCGCTTCTACAACGAACTTAATTTAGAAAAGAAAAAGGCTTGGGATTTAGGCTCGTTATCGACGAACGTACAAAAATCGGTGTTCGGGAAACAGATCCGAAGGTATTTTATTCCAAAGTTGTTCTGTGATGTAAAATTTAGCTCAAAGATGAATTATCCGGAGTTAAAATATGCTTAGTTGTTAATGAGGGATGAAATTCTATTTTTTTTTTCTTCTTCTTTTTTTTTTTATTATTATTATTTGAAATGAGAAACTTTAAACAAAATTAATGTAATATAAAGTAATATTAGTTCAAAGGATCTACTTTTATTTTAAAAGAAAAAAAGAAAAGGAAGATCCAGCCCTGTAAATACTTGAATTTGATAAAACTTAACCAGTTTCCCGTCGCACCCACTCAATTGTGCCAATCTACTCGTCGATAATTACATATACGTACGCGTTTAGCCGAGTAATCTGTATAAATGGAAAGAAAACACGTAATGATCGTTTTGAAACTATCGAAACGACTCTAAGGATTGTTCGTATACCTGTAAATAAGTTGATAAATTACTAAGGAAAGAAATAATAATAAGGAGATATAATGAACTCTATTAAATAGGAGAAAATATGAAAGAGTTTTATGGAATTTGGGGCCAGAGTTATATATGTATATATATATATGCATATACACATATAATGAATATAAATTTATGTATAAATAAATCTCTATATATATTATATATATATATATATATATATTTTACTACCGAAGAGAAATTTATATTCAAAATTTCTATGTTCGTTGTCGATGCGATTGTGGCTCACATTCTTCGCCAATGGATCCTACACTTTTCAAGGGAAGAAAGGAAACAGGGACCGAAGGCGTGTGTTTGCGTGTACGATTAGAAAAAGGTTCTAAGATCGTATTTTTTCAAAAAAATCGGTGCACAAGAAGGAAAGAAAGTAACGAAATATTGTTAGAAATATAAAGGAAATAGAAATGAGGAAACCAGTGACAGAGTGAGAGAAAGATGCGTATATATATGAGCGAGTGAGAGAATAAAAGCGCGAATTGATTAGTGCATTAGAGAAGAAGAGATTTATACTTTAAATGAAAAGAAAAAAAAAAAAATCGTATTTGGCTATTTGTATACTGTGATCTCCGTGAAATTTTTATAGTAACAAATGCGGATGCATAGAAAAACTTTTGTTTCGTGTATATAGTTTCATAAAAGAATGATTTATATTAATGATAAATACATATATATAATGAAAAAAAAAAAAAAAGATAAAAAACAATACGTACACAAATTGTGTTCTTGAAGGCAATAACCCGAATTCAGACCGTAATAAAAATTCCAATCTTTCGATGTGCCGTATATTTATATCTTGATACTTCATAAAGTTAGTGAGATTTTCAGATTATTTATTGAAAATAAACGTAATGATACACATATAATCTTTATGATTTTCTGAACGTATCGTTTACGTTCACAAACCAATGAATGGTTTCAACAAAAAGAATGTGTTACTTCAAAGTACCACGTTTTGATCTCGAATTTACGATTTCAATTCGGGTTGTCACATATCTTTAGAAATATACCGTTTACACGTGTACATCGTAGGATTTTGAACGATATCGACGCTATCGAGAAAAGCCGTCTTTTCTCTAGCATTTACAGACTACTCGTTCGATTTATTAAGAAAGTTTACGTTTTCATTTTTTTTTTTTTTTTTTTAATTTTTTGAAGGTTCTGTATAAAATAAAACTTGTACAATTTTAGGAGAATACGGATCGTTCGTTGTGTAACTCATTGCAAATGAATTAGCAATGTGTAAATAGAGATTTATTTACTTATTAAGGTAAATATTTGAGTCGGTTTATTATTCCTTATCGAAAGAAGTGGAGGAAGTATCACAAGGAAGTTCAAAAATATGAAGGGAAAAGAAGCTTTGTTGTGGATATAATACCAAAGCATAGAAAATATTTTCCAATTAATTTACGAAAATTTTTCATAAATAAAAAACATATCATTTTGGCTGATCAATTTTATTTGTACATAATTTCTTAATATTTTATTTATCAAAAAAGTAAAATTAGTTATAATAACCTACCGCGATTTTTGTACTTCATTGTGTCTGGAAAAATATTACATCATCTGCTATTACAGCAGTACTGGGTTTTGGATTGCCTTCTTCATCTTTAAATTCTCCATAGCTGATCTTTCCAGCAACTAATACCCTCTGACCCTTTTTTAAATAGTTCAAAACAGTCTCACGCAAATTCGGTTTAAACACACATATCTTATGCCATTCTGTCTTTTGCATAAAGTCCCCTGCAATTTTATTTAAACCAAAAAAACTATGTATAATTTCTTTCTTTCAAAACAAAATTAAAATTATCAAATCCTTTAGCTATATAACATACCATTTGTGTATTTGTAATTACTATGGGTGGCAAGTGAAAATATAATTACGGGATGCTCTTGGTTACCCCTTTTCTGTGGTTCAGCTCCCACTCTTCCCAGTAATGTGACTTGGTTTATAGCTGCGAACGAAAGCGTTAAATAACAAGTAATTTTCTTTTAGAAAGTTATTAAAATTATCGAACATTTTACTTACTTTTTTCTAATCGTACATTTTCGACAATGGTACACATCTGAACGCTTTTGGGGGCCGAAATACTTTGCATGATTCTAGGTATAACCTATAAAATAAACACGTTTAACCGGCATGTAAGTTAATTTAGTAAATGTTATATTATACAATGTTTTTTAACTTACTCTTCGAAACATGTTTGCTTGATTATTATACACGGAAGATCACAGTATAGAATATTAAATGCAATAATCGACTAACTACTATACGCAGTTAATGCAGATACAACAAAACGAAATGTGCCTTTGTGCTCGAGGTTAGATCTGCATGTAAAAAGCACAGTTGATATAACAGTCGTGTCTGTTTTATCAGTCCCTTCTACCATACCTCGCATTCATAATTGAAAAGACATAATTTTAATTCTCTTTGATTCCATTAAATTAACACATGATTGAAACAATTGTTAAACAAACTTGTATCTTAAAAAAACCGCCAAAAATTAAATATTTTTAAATTCGATCCTATCGCCATCTATACGAAAACGGCTCAAACTACTCGACAAGTTACCGATTGATTTTTTTGAACAGGGGAACACCAGCGCCGCCTATAAAAAATGGCGGAAACTACTTGACAACTTATCGACCTACTTCGGCAGGTGATAAAATGCCGACTTATCAATCGATCCTTCTACAGTCGGTAACTTGTCGCGTAGTTTCCACCACTTTTTAATAGAGGGCGCTAATGTTCAGGGCAATGATAAAACAGACGTAAACGTTTAAAATAACAATTTATTCTAACTTACACATTAGATAATTTAATCTAAGTTAAATATTATGTACATTTCTATTACAATTGATTTCTTTTTTAGGTGAAGTTAATGGGAAATGGATCCAAGCGGTGGATCTTGCCACTTGAATTCTTCTTGGTAAGTAACATAAACAAGCCAATAACAAACATTAAGAAATCCAAAGGAGGCTGGAAATACTATTCTCGCCACTTTATCGATATAAGAAACACTATTTATGTGCCTTGCAATCTTTTCCCCGTTCTTTTTGCAATTTCCAGCTGCCTCCTTTTGTCTGCGTCTTCTAAATTTCAAAATGCAAGAATAGCCGTTTTATTATACTATTTATACGTATGATAGTATAGTTTTACCTGAATGCCTCATCCCCTGCGAGGCAATAAAGGAACTGACGCCATTTTGGTATCCACACTTCCGTTTGTGTTTGTCTTTCCATCGTCGACGGTTTCGAAGTGACCGAAACCGTCATCGATCCTCTTCCATAGGATACCGATTCCTAATTAACAATTGTTTCATTATCTTAAGTAGAAACGATTTATTTTCTTCGTTAGTTTCAAATCCTTACATTAATACCGTAAACGTCACATATCAAAGAACTTCTTCTTCGGGGTATGTCTATTATCGTTTCTGGATGTACAGTTTGAGGACTGCACGATACGATGCTGCAGAATCCGTCATGGTAGTCGGTTTCGCTTTCGTGTTCCAGCTCATCTTCGTCTAAAGGAATTTCTCCACTACCAACCTGGAGTAAATATTTAGAAATTAGGATGTTCCATGAAATTAAGCCAGGTTATAACACTAAAATGTACCTTTGTAAAGTAGTGCACACCGGCAAATTCTAGAAGAGTCGCTATGCAGTATCCAAAACTCATTAGCAAAAACCAATCCAAAGCTGTGGCATATCTCACCTTCGGCAAGTCTGTTCTAGAATCCAGGCTGATAGTTGACAATGTTAAGACAGTTGTTATACCTGAAACAAAAGCTTTCATTTGCATATACTTACATAGAAAAGTTAGGAAGAAATGATTTACCTAAACCAACTCTGTCACTGGTAGCTTCACGGTGAATCCAAAATGACACCCAACTTAGTACTACTATTAAAACGCAGGGCACGTAAACCTGATACAATTATGAAAATAGTATTGTTTCAAATTGAAATAACAGTCTATTAATTACTCGTTTACCTGAATGAGAAAATAACCAGTATGTCGTTGTAAATTAAAGGAAACTTGTAAGACTGAGAATTCACCCTCGCGTCTGACAAAAGTTAAATTTCTATAAGGTGAACCCATTAAGTCGAATTGGGAAAGTGCCATTCCAGGGACAAAATTTACCGAAGAGCCTTCTTGCCATTCGTACACTAATTGACCTGAAGTATATGCATCTGAAAGTAGGAAAAGATAAAAATTTTCTATTGATAAAAATGTTTATAGAAATGCTTACAGCTTCCAAGTATAAGAGGACAAGATTGTCTGTCCATGGGGAAGTTCCTAAGTTCCATCGGGCATTTCGCTTTTATAGTAAGCCTATATTAAAGACAAATCATGTATCATATCTATAATTATTTTTTAGAAGGAAAATAATTATAGTAACCTCATGGAATAAAGAATATCTCCGTCCTGTGAGATTCTTAATAATTTATTAGGAACCGTGATGGTATGCACGTAGCTATGTTTCCCATTATAAAAATACGTGTCTGGCCTCCAGATTCTTTCCAACATTTTGATGCTTAAGCTGAGCGATTTAATCGGGCCTAGGAAACTTAAACGAGAATCCCTCCACGATTGCCGGAAATAACAGTCCATCGAATAATCCTATAAAAACAGATAAATCATTTCGCGAATGACCCCCCGTAATTGAGTTAACATCTTATAGAAATACCATATCCAGTTCTGACACAGGACCCATGCTTCTTATTAAAATATTCGTTTTCACCACCGTTGGTGTACCTAAAAAGAAAAATTTTCAACTGATATTTTTTCTTCGTTCTTTGAAGATTTCATCTTCTGCTGAGAGAAAAGGAAATGGCTGATGGCGCGTGGAGAGAAAAATTGGGAACAGATATGCTGACAAGAACGGGTATAGATGGATAATCGAAAGGATTTCGACATTTTTTTCAGCTGAAAAAAGATAATGGTAAAACAACCGAGACCGCATGATAGAGATAAAGGCGATTTCGAAGAGATACTTTGCTTTGGCTGGCTACAATCCAACTTTTCGCGTGTTCCATTCATATAGGATCGTCTTGTTTTTCTTTTTTCCTCTTTCGCTCGATCACTCGTCAAAGGTTGTTACGATGCTCCATTTCTTTTGATGTAACTATTTTAATGTTGATATTCAAGGAAAAATTGATTAGCATCTTTTCATTTACCTCGCAGCTTTCTCACCCTCGTTAATTAAATGTATATTATTTCTTTATCAGTTTCTAAGATAAGTTGCAAATTCCATCAGATTGGAAACAAATCAGTGGAAATTGATGGAAATTGAAGCAAGGTATACATCAATTTATCCATCAAAATTTTCGTAATCGTTTAATCTTTTTATCAACGAGGTTGGAATAATCCAATTAGTTCCAGCAGTGATTCGATCGAATTGAACGACGATTAGGAAAACTTCAATAGTTTAATAAAATAATTCGAATAACTAGCTGATCATCTCCAAAATAGAAAGATAATTTTCTTTTTATTTCATTACCCTTTCCATGTGTAGGCAGTTGATTGTTCTCATAATTCATCAGAAGATTCTCAAGAACCATAGTGATGTTCTTGGAAACGATATCGTTCATGGTTCCTCTGATTGCCATAGGTTTCGAAGTTTTTGGTGATGGGGAGGATACATCCATAGCATAATTTCTCTCTTTACAAGTCGACAGTAACACGATAAAGATCAATCTGAAAAAATATATTCCTTTTATGGACAACTACTTTTGACTGATTTGAAACGTAATCAGTGGAAAATGGCAAACATTAGGTAAAGCAGGGACATAGGTGAAAGAGGCCGTAGAAAAGGGGGGAGGAAGGAGAAGAAGAGGGGAACAGGAGTGCTCTCCTTAGCCGCGGATTCAGCAACTTCCGATGAGGGTGCCCCTCGATGTTTCGAGTGAACATTCTCTCTCGTTACGTCAGAATCGCCCTTTAAGTCCTTCCGGTGGCCCTCTTACAAAAAACCTCCTCAAAATATGTCACTTTTTACCAAATTACACACCATTAGAAAATTCTATCCAAGTGTCTTCGATAAATTATGAAAATATTCATTTGCTGATAACGGTGGTTTTTGTGGGAAATTTCTTAGAACAGAAATGAATAAGGTACATTTTAAAACTGTTCGATATCGAGATTGTTTTCTTTTTTTTTTTTTTTTTGTTTCTATTCGAAAGAAAAATAATCAACGAGACGATATGAACTGAGGGTAAAAGAGGGGTAACTTTTTTTCGGCTATCGCGAACACACGTTTGCTGGCCACTCGTGCCACTTTAATTTCAGCTTTTTCATTAAAGGCCTGTATCAATATTGCCATATTTGTGTGGCTGGCTAAATAATCGAGGCGGAATAGCAATCTTTCCCACTGCATTCGTTACAATAATTTATTTCGCGAGGCCGACTCCACTTTTCAATCTGACACTTTCGTTATAATGCAATCTAATTAATTAAATGAATACAAAGAGAATAGTAATAGTTTCACCATTTTTATCACATCAGTTTAAATAAAATGATGAAGTTGTAAATGATATACCATTTGACAATACGTCAATTATAAATCTTCAATTCTTATCATTTATTAAATTTTTAATAAATGAATGTAAAAGTATCTGAATGATTAAAGAAATTTTGAGATGAAAAGTAAATGTTCGATCACTGTTCAAAGAAGATGAAAATGTTTACTTACACGATCATTTCTTTGGATGTTAATTGGAGGATGTTTTGCACAAAAATTAACGGTGGGAAAATTGAATAGAGTCGAACCGAATACCGGCACTAGCGAGAAAGATCTACATGCAATTCTTGTAACAGATCCTCGTGGATCTCCCACCTGGGAGAGGAAACCTCCAGCCGCGCAAGCTCCAACAATCCTACCTTCTGCAACGTTCAACGAACTTTTTCGAATCGTTTATTTCTTTATATTTTATGTAAAATTATTATTATCATTTATATTTAAACATTTACCCCATTAAGATGGTTGCATATTAAACGGGCAATTTCGAAATATTCAAAGTCAGAAAATATTGCCAAGCGGTAGTACTTGTAATACATCAATTTGAAGCTTAAAGGTTTTATTATATTTGTCATTTCTTCGCTGGAGGATTCGGATCCGAATAGATCCAAGCCATCGTAAGGGTTAAAGATAAAAGCAGGGATCGATGGGACGTGGAATCTTGTAAGGTTAACGACTCTCGATACCGATGTATGTTTTGCGGAGGTATCTGAAGGGTGGTATCTGACATGAAAATCAAGAGACGGGGTAGTTCTGTTCTCTGTGTCAGTAGGTCGTGGAAAAACGGGGCTGCACATGCGTGCTCGATTTTCCGTTAACCTTACCGACCATCTCTCGGAACAGGCAAGGAATGGCAAGTACCGTGATATACAGGCGAGTGTTATCGGTGTTTCGGAACAGCTAGCAAAAGATAAATAGCTGAAAGGACGAACAGAGGGAGGCAAAAGTTGTGCGACAGATCTGAAAATGAGGGAGAAGGAGGAGGAAATGACACGTCGAGATGGTAACCTCTGAAAAAGTGCAGATCCATCGTTTCGGAATCCGATAAAAGTGAACAAGATTTCGTACGATCCGAGTGATCGAATACAACGGGCAGTGAATAAAATAATATATCTGGACGAGGGTGAAAGTTCGAGGGGAGGGATAAGTGTTTATTCCTGGCAATAAAGACGAATGTACAATACCGTTCATAAGTATCATGACACTAGGTTCATTTAGTAAAGGTATTTCGGTGGGATGCCTTTAGAAATTTTTATGTTTTAAAATTTCACTTGGGAAATTTTGAAATCTCGAAATTTGATCGAGTAATTGAAGGTAATACTAATTAGGATAATTGAGGGAGAATCGAAAATGTGGTAATACTTGTGAACGATAGTGTATCTGAAGAGAGAAACCAAAAGGAGGTTAGTAGAGAGAAATAGATAGAGTAAAAGGGGCGATAGGAAGGGGTGTAGAAGGGGGATGAAAAGAGAGGGTGAGTGGCGCGCAGCATCCGAACCATCAGAAAATATACTCGAGAACGGCGTCGACATCGGACAGTGCTGGTGAACGAATCAGTCTGTTCGCGGGTGAAAAAGTGTGCCCTTTTGAGGGCAATCGTGAGAAAGAAGGGTGAGAGGCATCGACTCCTAGTGACGTTCTCCTTGACAATGTCCGCGGATCCTGTCGACGACCTCCGCGTCGACATTCCACAAGCTGAATGCAACGAGTACACCATTCATTCAAAATAACCAACCGCTTTAAGCTGGTTGTATCATAACAAAATTATTTATTTACAGTAGGCATGTTGAAAAATTCATGATACAACCACCTTACATTTTTACCAACAATCTTATTTGCGTTATTTATCAATTTATGGTGAATGAGGTTTACGAGAAGGAATTATCGAATATCGAAAGAATAGAAAATTAAGTGATATGTTAATGGTATCATGAAATTAAGGTCAAGGACGGAAATCAGGTCGGGTTCTGGTTGCAGTTTCGGGCAGCTCGATGTCGAGGTCCAAGAACCTAATGAGATGACATCCTCTTCTACCTGCTGACGTAATTTTCAAGGATACATCGCAAGATGTGGTTACAGCAGATCTTTATTCTCTTGCGGATGATTTACTTAGTTGCCTGGTACAATGATCAACTCCCCTCGTTTATCGATACCAATCGATTTTTATCGTACAAAATTACAATACCTTCTTTTCTTTTCACGCTAGCGGTTTTAGTAAAAGTTCCAGGACCAATCTTGAGAATACAGGGGTATCGGATAGATTAGAAAATGTAACGCAAACTATATCGCGAATCCTCGATGGTTATGATATTCGATTGAGGCCGAATTTTGGCGGTCAGTTCCAGTATTTTCCCGCCCTTTTATACATTTCGATTTTACTTACTGTTCATATTTCAGGTGAACCCCTGTTGGTTGGCATGGATCTTACGATTGCAAGTTTCGATGCAATCTCCGAAGTGAACATGGTCAGTAGAGATTTATTAATTAACGTTATTTATAACGTGACGTGACTACTTCCTTCCTGCAGGATTACACGATAACGATGTACTTGAACCAATATTGGAAGGACGAAAGGCTAGCGTTTTCCCAAGAGGAGGAAGTTCTTACACTTAGCGGAGATTTCGCGGAAAAGATTTGGGTACCAGACACATTTTTCGCCAACGATAAAAATAGGTGAGCAAAATAATACATCGATGAATCTGTGTTATCTAAATGTTTATTATCTAATTATTAACATAAACGTCTTGCTTTACTCATCGATAGTAGGTATCTCAAGCGCTTGAAGGCGCGAGAATAAGGAAGCTAGTATTTAATTGGGAAGTCAACGAAGTAGAAGATAGAATATGATTACGAAAGAAAATGTTGGTTTTCGGTTTGTTCGCAGTTTCTTGCACGACGTGACCGAGCGTAATAAACTCGTCCGATTATCCGGGGACGGATCTGTCACTTATGGCATGAGATTCACGACGACCTTGGCCTGCATGATGGATCTGCACTATTATCCGCTCGATTCGCAGAACTGCACCGTAGAGATCGAGAGCTGTACGATAAATACTATCTTTCACAGCTCTTATATCGACCCTTTCCATTCCCCTAATACTGTAAAGTGTGTTAGAAACAATAGTTGAAAATTTAGGAACTTGAAAACTATATACATATAGTAGACCACGTCGAACTGTCCATTAACGAATATCCAATTTCCATTCTCATGGTATAATAATAATATTAATTAAGAGAATAATCTCCTTTCAGATGGTTACACGGTGCTGGACGTGGTAATGTATTGGAAAGAAACTCCAGTTCGTGGCGTTGAAGAAGCAGAATTACCGCAGTTCACGATAATCGGTTACGAAACGAACGACCGTAAAGAAAGACTAGCCACCGGTATATATCAGAGGCTTTCATTAAGCTTCAAGCTTCAAAGAAACATTGGGTATTTCGTTTTCCAAACATATCTGCCTAGCATCTTGATCGTGATGCTTAGTTGGGTCAGCTTTTGGATTAATCACGAAGCAACCAGCGCCAGAGTCGCTCTTGGTAATCATTACTGTGGGTAGATTTATTATTAACGATTAATTAATATATCTTTCTCGTTTTCAGGGATAACGACGGTCCTTACGATGACTACAATTTCGACTGGTGTACGTAGCTCACTGCCACGTATCAGCTATGTAAAGGCTATCGATATTTATTTAGTAATGTGTTTCGTTTTTGTATTCGCGGCTCTGTTAGAGTACGCAGCGGTTAATTATACGTACTGGGGTGCCAGGGCGAAAAAGAAGAGCAAAAAGAAAGAAACTGACGAGAAGAAAGTGGTTTCCTCGAAATCAGGTAGAGTTTACTTTAATCGAGGCTCGAAAAGAAAAAGTGATAGAAAGAAATATAATTTTACAGGAAGTAAAGCAAGTTCCCCGTTTCCTGGTTCGACGGAAGCGGATATAATAGAGCTTCAAGATCTAAGAATGTCCCCTCTGCCAAGTATAAGAAATAGATCAGGGTTATTGAGCAGTGGCTCGATACCAGGAACGGGACGAGAACACGATCCGGCCAAATTTCCCCCTAGTTTTCGTATTTCCAGAGTCGCTGCCTACAATACACATGGAAGAAATGCTGGTCTCAGATATAGGGGACCTAAACAACACAAACCTAAGGTGAAAACATATTAATTCGAATTATTTTTTAAGGATAAGAGACTTGATCTTTAGAAGTTTTCAAAATAATGCGCACGCCTGCGCGTAGGGCAAGAGCGCGACTGCGCATGCGCGAGTAGATGTAGCCTATATGTAGGGGCTTCTCTCCGACTAGTGCTTCAGTCGCTTTCGCGCAACCGTTGTAGGAGGAGTTTGTGTTTGTTATTGGAAAAAAATAATTGCAGGTATTACACGCGATACGAAGAGGAGCTTCCGTATTACGAATATCAATGCCGAAGATTAAGGATGTAAATATTATCGACAAGTATTCGAGAGTCATATTTCCGGTCAGTTTTATGTTATTCAACACAATCTACTGGGTATTCTATTTTTTCTAAATCACAATTCTCTTAACGAACGACGAAGGATAAAAAAGGACCAATTGATAATCGAGAATTCAAATGGAATTCCATTGAATATCGATTCGGTTTGAATATCGTGTTTTCAAAAAAGATAAAAATACGTAAATTGAAATCGACGTTCAAGCCGTGTAACTTAAACCGAATTCTTTATTCTCGATCGAAGGGAGCAGATGTCGAAAGTACTGAATCGAAGCTGCCAAATATTTATCAGTGGGAAGATATTTTCGAGATACACCGATTTAAGCTGGAGGTATAAAGGTATTTTAGAAAATATGTTCCTAATCTTTAGTAATTCGAACGGAAAATCCGTCATTACAAAAGTCATTGAAATGAAAAAGAAATTTTAAAAACGCGTCATATCAAAAATTAACTGAGATAACCTCACTGAAAATAATGATGTACATTGATCTGAATCTCTAAGGGAAGTTTTCAAACAGAAATTTCTTCTGTATTATAGCAATAAATGTATCGATAAATATAATACAGGATAATCGGTGTGATTTCCCTAAACATTCCTAAAAATTAATAAAAATTACTTGATTTTAAGAAGCCATCTAGCAGCAAAACGCTGAACTGTGTATAGAAAACCACTTACCCTTTGACATTCGGTCGGTATAACTGCGTTATAGTTGAGCGTATTTCCGCTAAATGGCGCCAGCTGTACCGTTTTAAAAACTGGCGCTAAATATAAAGTTTATAAATCATAAAAAACGTTAGCATAATATTTTCAACCACCTATAATAACATGTATACCTTGAAACGAGCTCGGACTGAAAATTTCATGGGTACAGAAAAGATGCTTTAATATTTCCATCGTTTATACCATTTTATTTTCTTTTCCGGTAGATACATCGTTAATATTATATTACAAAGATGGCGGCTTTTAAAGCTAATAAAAAGTAATAAATAATTGAACGGTCAAGTCGATCGTGGCTCGATCTTATTCGAGCTCCGAGACTTGGAGCGAGGAGTTTTACCTCTCCCTTGTTCATGTATTTACTTAAATAACAAACAAAAAAAGTTATATATAAAAAAAACTAAAGATATTAAATTATTAAAAAAAATAATACAGATTCCTCGTGTACAATTTTGTACCATTCGTCGTTTCTTCGTCCATCCACGTCGAATACAATTATAAATACGAATATAAATACAAAACTAATTTAGCAATCTTGTTTTTCTTTCAGAGATTCTACTGGTCGGTAGAATTCTTTTTCTGATTTAAAATCGTTTCGATGTTTCGATGAATTCGAGCGATATGCATTCTCTTCCCTTTAGGAGGCTCTCTCTCTTCTATGTAGAGATTTCCGGTTACTTCCGGCCAATCGACCATCACAGAAGTTTCCCTTTTCCGATCTGCAACGAGATAGAAGTATCTTATTAATTTTTGCTTTTACCCGATAGGGAATGTTGAATTTTTTAAATCCTATTATCTAATTGTAAGTAGACTTTTATCTTATCAATTTTCTAATCTAATGAAAAATTGCAATTCAATTGGAATTATAGGAATTATGTCGTAAAATATTTTCTTACCCAAGAGTTTCTCAAGATATTGGCACCTTGTTTCGGGATCACCCGGGTTCATGGGCGCGCCAGCAACCAGTTCGGCTAGTTCTGCCTTGACCATTAAATTTAATCGAGCCGAGATCTCTTCTAAACCCACTGTAAGCATCGAACAGTTTCTCTTTCATTCAAGCTGTTTCTACAAAATGCATTTAATTGCTATTTAACGAAACTTTTATATCGTCCAATTTCTAACGATATTCCCAATGTTATTTGTTCTACTGAAAAATTCTCCTTGTAATTTATTTTTAATTGACAATTTTAGCTGGGCACGTTGGAACGACGGTATCGTATAGTCAAGGCTGGAATGCGAGTTGAACGGCTATGGAATGCGGTTCTGCTTTCCCAAGACCCCATGGGATGAACCTAACGATAGCTTTACTTCGGTTGAAAGTCATCTTTTTCTACCCTTGGAAGAAACCTGGCTAGCATATACCCAACGAAGAAACTATTCAGTTAGAAAAATAAACGACCGAGGATCGTTAGTACTTCGACGCTGTACACCTTCGTAGATCGTAAATTCTTCCAAATTCTTTCCTGTCCACTTCGTAACGCGATCTAATGTTTCAGCTGAATGGAAACGCTGTTTTTCAACAGCATGATTCGACAACATTGGTAAGGGGATCAGGTAATGGGCTCTAACGGGAGAAACGGGCTATCCTGGTAAGTCCTCCTCGGTTAGCAAAGCCAGCAATGAAACGGTACCAAATGCACGACCATTCGCTTCTACATATTACCAATCTGTTACTATGAGAATCGGTTATCTTTTCTCGATCACTTTCAACGGGAACGAATTTCTCCTATTTACTTTTCGAGAAGAGAACAGTAAAGCGATTATGCGTGTACAACAACATGAATGAAACATTTACGTATGCGTATGAACGTCGAATTAACAACGTCGGACTGGCATTGAAACGAAAATAGTATCGTTTCATTCATGCTCGCCTGAATAACGATTTCACGAACGTGCACTAGCGATGGAGTCGCGCATTTCAGATTATAATAACAAGAAAATATTGAAAAAATTCTATGTAATATAATTGAAAATTTTATATGAAACTTAATTAATTATTGTAGTTCTAAAAGAGGTGGGAACATCAAACAGATCGATTCCATCGCTAAATAGTACACAGTACGTTTCCTGGGGAAGCGTGGGTGGCGGTGTACGATAGGGAGGGAATAAGTGGGAAGTGAATGGAGTAGAGGGGAAAAGTGTAGGTTCCGGCGTATATGAGTTCTGCGTAACGTTCGTTATGCAAATGCGGATAGTAACATTGTACAAACGTTCATTGTGGATCGTAAGACCACGTTCGGTTGCTTTCTTTTTCTACCCCACGTGTATTCGTCGAAGCCACACGTTCCTCCAAACAGTCCGATCATATTATAAACCCCTGTTCCAAGTTTCGTTTATGAACACCGTAACGGCGATTTGCAAACATCGCCTCTTTATGCTTTGCAGCGCTGGATGAACCGTAAGGAATTTAAAGTAGTTGGATCACGCGATTTCGCGTATACACTGCCATTTAAACGTTTCGGAAATCTTCGGCCCGAACTAAATCAGAATTAGCGGGAAATCGGTTGAAAATCGATTTTAGAGAAAATAGCAGAGCCAAGTTCAGCTTGAAAGTGATCAATTTTTTCATTATAATTAATATTCTATCCAATAAATACGATGATATTGATTACAAAAGTGTTATTTGAAAAATTAGGTCAGATCTTGAAACGACAACAAACGATGAGAGATGACATAAGTTGGTAAACGAGAATAAAGAGAACGCGGAACGGAGCATGATGAAAGAAACGAGAAGCATTGAATACCAGGACGTCATATCCGGGCGTGATAGATCGAGCCAAGGTGAGCAGAGGTCGTGAGTAGCCCTCTAATGAAGAAAATCTGCCTTGCATTTTAAAGGACTTCTTGTCCCCCTCTACCATACGCTATCAATCCTTCAGAATGAAACGTGTAGAACGAAATAGTAGAACACGCGATCGTTCGATTTTTCTTTATTCTGATTCGATCCATCTTTCAGACCGTTTACCTGGCTCGAAGTTCTTCTTCATTCGCCGCCACTGTCTCGCGTAGACTAGAGCTGAGCATCCTGCGACCAAGAAGAAAAGAATACAGGCACAGATGGCAAGGATCAGGGCTCCAGTTTGCCAATCCCACAGGATTCTCTCCTCCGAAGACGTTTCCCTCCGACGAGGCTCGTTTACCGTCTATAATCACCGCAATAGCAAGTAATCGAAACAACACCTTGCCTCTTAACGATTATTATTCTTTTCTCCATTCTATACCTGCTTCTTAATGTTACGTTCCAAGTTTTCTACGCGTCCAACGAAATCGTTCGATTCCTCTCTGATCTGTTCTTGATCCAGATCGGAGAACCTCCAAAACATCTTTGAGGTGACAGCCTCGAGGCTTCTTTGACCGGTTTCCGGTCGTTTCTTCGTCGAGAGGAAAGACCAATCGAGCTCGAGTGCTGACAGTGGTCCGCAAATAGCATCCTTGTAAATGGTGCAGGGGCTCAAAGTAAATTCAGGAGCGCATCTGGTGCAAGGCCAACAGGTGTCACGCTCGACCGACCAAAATTCGAAACCCGGTTTACACACGGGATATCGGGGAGCGGATGTCGAGCAGCCAGCCTTGCGGGAACCGACCAGTAGCAGCAGCAACACGGCCAACAGATATCCCCGACTGGCCTCCCCAGGCATCACCTGAAATTTTTTATTAACCCATCTTCTTTTTTTCTCCAGCCATACGAAGCGAATACATTGGGTCTCTGCCGATACCAACAGCGCCAACCATAAAGGTCAGATAAGTATTTGTTTAATTTAAATATATTTCATTGTACTTCCAACGTCCAAGAGAAGAGAAATTATACTTCTTTCAGCCGATTCTTTGAAATAATCGAGCGTGTAAAGTAGTCGTTTAACCGGCAAAACCGGCCAGACCGTTTCCACTTCCGGCTCGTTCGCGATGTAATTACATCCGTAGTTGTATGGACAGCGTATGTACACCTTTATGAGTGTGCGTACGCACGAACATTAGAATAGTTTGAACGTGAATCAATTGACCGCAATTCGGTCATGATTTCCCTCTGATTTACATTAATACCTATAATAATCATCTTGATCAATCATTAACAAAGATAACGTTCAAGAACGATTTTATATAATTATTCTTTCATCTCTTTTTTGAACATTTCAGTTTCGCGCGGTAAATCAACGCGTTTCAGTTTTACCCTAATTTCTAAAAACGAAATATAAACAAAATTACGAGTGCCGTGTTAACGAATGGACGACGGTAAGGGCTGTAAATGAAAAGTTGTGCCGCGCAAATAGAAAGCGTAACATTCTATCTATGGCGTTGTTTTCTCTCGAGCTGTTTAAAATTTGATGCGCGCGCCACGGACAATCACAAGTATTTCTCGATTGCGTAGTAAACATTACGCAGCCAGATAAGAATCATATATATCACGAATTTTTCTCAATTAGTTTGCGAATCACGCGATACCGCGTGCTTGATTATTAGCGTTAAATGTTCCTCTAGATCCTCGTAAAATCCTCGACGTTAAAAATTTTTTGACAAATGAGCGACCCGTGTTGAAGCCACTATTTTCTACCTGTGATTAATTAAATATTGCTTAATTGTCAGGTAAACTGTTTAAGTGAATATTAAAAAAAAAATTCTAAAAATTTATAGCAGAGAAAATTTATTATCGTTTAGATACATTTAAATATTAAACAGTAATAATCTTTTCCGTGTTAAGTAATAATTGCTTTACTAATGTTCGCCTTAATTGTTCCTATCGCTAATACATTAGCGTACTACCATTCAGAAATCTCATTGGTATTCCGGACGTTCATTGTGTCATTCAATAGAGAAATGTCGACTATCGTTTAGTATATTTCACGTTTTATCTTGATCGTGTTTTAAATCAATCCTTTACTTTCCCATTGTTTTTCTTTTTTTTTTTTCAAATTATTTTTGTTATCCTTATTATTCGTTGATAAAACTACTGATAATTTAAAGAATGTATATTCATCAACGTGAGAGATACAGAGAGAATTCTAATTTACATTTCAAAAAATGTACTTACGCTGCCTTCGATAAATTCAAACTTGTCATGATGCAATCCAATCGATATATCCAAAATCGATTAGCAGAAAAAAAAGCAATAAAATATCGAGAGTTCACAAAAAATTGTTGATCCACCCATTCGAATGAAATCGTGAATACCGGTTCGATCGAACAAAGCTGAACAGGTTTACGAGTACTTTTACGCTAAAAATCAAGGAAATGTTCTTTTCAACATTTTAAAAAAAGAAAAAGAAAAGGCGGTATTTCGAAAAATCTCCACCCAACACGGACTAGACACTCACCACGCGCCGACTACAACACGACTGGCTAGACTGGTTATTCTAATTTCCGCCCACAATCCTCTCTTGAAAAGAGAAGTTTGTAAGAGGGAGAAATGTATTGAAAGGAAAAAGATACGAAAAGAAACTTAGAGCTGAAAGAAGATGAAAGAGGACAGAGGGAGCCACGCGGTAGAATGAAAGAAAAAAAAATAGTGATGGCTTTAAACATCGCTATAAAAATGCCTTTAATATAAAAATAATTTTTTGCTATTCAACAATCATAAAGACGATTACAAACTAAATAACCTTATTATCTTATATTTTTAATAACCTACAATGCTTCTAATCTAATTTGAATTATTGTCGTATTTGAACATTTCAATTCGATTCATAGTTTTGAAATTGAACTCTTATTATCCTACTGTCAGTGTATGTTTTATTTAAACTATAAATGAATAATCAAGTAATTTAAATAATTAGAAATATTATTTTGGGTTGTTTTAGATTTTTTTATTATGAATTTTCATTATAAATTCAATATAAAATTATAGACAAAGTTGTGGGTAGTTCCTTCTACTTGCGCGCCATCTTGTATGTCTCAGGAATTAACTCATGAAAGTACAGTAACGATCTAGTTATGAAAACAGAAACTAAAAGAAAACAAAGTATCGGTAAGATAATTGTATAAAATATATTCCTCTAAAGATTGTCTTACATGTTAATGAATTTGATGATTGTTTACTTATCTGTCTCATTACGATAGACTTTGAAATATAAATGATTGTTACTGTGATTTTCTTTAATTCTTCAATGATTTCTTAACAAAAGTCCTGAGATTTTTAATTATTTGCATATCCTACAATTTAGTTCTTTCATTTCTTTTTCTCACCCTACATTTAATACCCTGATATAAAATAAACTTAAAAAATTCTAACCTCAAAATCTAACTCTGTATATACATATACCTTTGTAAATAAAATTTTAATTTAATAATTTTAGAATTAATATTAGTTTGTTTGAGATTGTAAATTGAAATAGCTATTGCTTTGATGCTTTAAATTTGAAATAATACTTTCTTATTTATATAGTGTTAAATTTCACAATCTAACCTATATTTTTTAAAGTTAATGCAATAAATTTTTAGTTTCGATAAAACTAAATAAGCTACATCGATTCTGTTAAAATCTTCCACATAATTACCCTAATCTGTTTTCAGATTCCTCCAATGAGGCATTGACAAAGCAAGCTATTCTAACAGTTGCAATCGTTTTTGTTACCTCATTAATGGCACTATTTTATGTATACACTAGTTTTCCACAACTCGCCGAGTAAGAAACAATTATATCGATGTTTCGTATAAAGAAATGTTTTAATTTGTTCTTTATTTTAGAGATGAACGACAACACATGAAATTACCATTACACATTGATGATGCAAAAGGTCTGGGTAATCTCCTCAACAGATACAAAGATCTATACTATTTCCAAGTACTAAGCGGATTGTTCATCACATATATTTTGTATCCTTTGATAATTTCTCTTCTAAATTAGATGCTTAGTATTTGTTAAAATTATGAATTCCTTAACCAGAATTCAGTCTGCAAACTTTTGCTATTCCAGGTTCTATTTTCCTCTCAATTCTTTCTGGTTTTCTTTTCCCATTCCCTTTGGCTTTGTTGTTAGTTTGCACCTGCAGCGCAGTAGGAGCATCGCTTTGCTATCTTCTGTCGTCGATTTTAGGACGGAGATTACTTTTTAAATATTTCCCGGACAAAGCTCGAGTGTGGACGCTAACAGTGAGAAAGCACAAACACCATCTTTTTAATTACATGCTATTCCTTCGAATGACACCGCTGCTTCCGAATTGGTTTATAAATTTAGCTAGTCCTGTAATCGGTGTACCACTTGCACCGTTTACTATGGGCACGTTTTTTGGTGTTGCTCCACCATCTTTTGTCGCTATACAAGCAGGACAAACGTTACAGAACTTAACTTCATCTAGTGATGCGTGGTCCTGGAATAGCATCTTGATATTGTGCGTATTTGCAATACTTTCATTAGTACCTGTTTTATTTAAACAGAAACTACAAGAAAAGTTTGATTAAAAATTTAGGAAATAAATTAAAGAAATTTTATTTATTTAGAATATAATATGCTTATTTATTTTAAATATTCGTTACATTAAATGCAATGTAACAAAGCGATAAAAAAATTTATTCTTAGTTTAATTATTGATATTGAAACACTTTCAATCGATTAAACTCGGAAAACATTCCTCACATAGCATTATGCCTTTTTTATATGAAATTTAACTGCTAAATCTTAAATTTGTCAAAATTAGCACAAATTAATTAAAACTACAGTTATGTATTTCACTAATGTATTTGTATTTTCTTTTCTATACACAAACTGTGCACAAAATTGTTTGCAATGAAAATAACTGTCTTGCTGTAGAAACATGTTATAGTATAATTATGTATAAATAATTTGAACGATATAAAAATGTAATTTAGCAGTAGGAAGTCAAATAGCTAATGGAAATATTTGTTGAGTTCAGAGTTGGAAGACTAATTGGTCGCCAGTACCACCAATTGTACCACACTGAAAAACATGTAGCTTTAACAGTGAATTGTTTAAACGATGGTATATATGTAATTATAAATTAAGTGTAAATAAATTTTGTGTTAAAACTATATAATAATGCAAACGAAGATATGTAAATTATGTAACTAATTAATTTTTTTTAATTTAGTGTAAATTAATATACTTACAAGTTTTTCCAGTAGATAATAACACTGTAAATGATTTACAAGAACTAGTACATTCTGAACTTGCTATCAGTCTTATCAGCCTTGCACCTGTTGCGCATGTAATCGCTACATTACTGCATTCGGGATTTGGCTGCAGTTTTACAAATTAAATCTATTAATTAAAAAAGTTATTTTATACAAATGTTGTTATCATTTAAGAAATACAGAAATTCCTTACTAATGAATAAGGCGGTGATTTCGATTCGTCGAAAAAAATAAATCTCTCTATGCTCTGTTCCCACCAATTTGGTGTATCCATAGGTTTTGGAAATAGTTCCCTTAAAATCCGTGCTGGAGTTATCCGATTTATTCTCCATGCAACATGATTATTTAGATTTTCTGTAGGATTTAAATGCATTTTACTTTCCATGATATCTCTAACATTTCTAAAAGAATGAATGTTTTTTAGTGGTTAAACTATAACTTCAAAATTAAAGCATGTTCTTCTGTTGAACTTCAGTGCAATACCTGTAAGTTAAATTGTTAGAATATACTTTTGCAGCATCTTTCTCAAACGTTACTGAATTTTTCCAATACAATTGTTGTACATTCTCCATATGAACTTCTGAAAAATTCTGTATTTTTATATATGGAATTCCAGGGTTGAATGATCTAGATATTTGATAACCAGTTAAATCAGGCACAAAATGTACAACGCTACATGGCCAACAATCCATATCTTGTATATAAAAGTATGGATTCTCTAATATGCACCATTCTTCATAAAATTCTAAATGAACATAAAGATAAAAGAATGACATACATTAATTTACTGTACAATTTTATTTGTTTCCATTACTAAATGATAACACAGCATACCAGATAAAGAAGGATATTGTTTAATCACTGGTACAGCTATTTTTCGAAGTAATTTTAAACCTGGATAAATGGAATTTTGTAAATTCCTTAGTAACATAACGGCTAAAAATCTTTGATCAAAAGTTACAAAACATACAAGTGTAATAAACAAAACTACCACTATAATTTTTATACAGAAAGAGACAGCACATTTTTTATTCCTTTTTTCAAGAATACAAAATGACTTTTGTAAAGCTTGATCGATGTCAGTATCAGAGATACCATTTTTTCGTGCATATTGACGGATTCTTTCCAATTCGTTTCTGTATTCTCCTAAATGAAACATCTTATCTTATATATATAAAGCGCAAAGACGTCCATCCGTGTCACTTTTCAATTTGAGAACTGCTAGGGTTAGAGATACGGAGGGGTCCCTGGCACCCCGGATGCCATAATGTCGGTATGCAGAGAATCACCCGTGCTTCGGGGTCCCTAACACCCCACGATGATTTTTGTCGGCGCGCAGAAAGAGTCGCCGGGGTCTCCGATACCCCAAGATAAAATTTGTCGGTGCCCAGAAAGCGTCCCTGGGATCTGCGATACCCCAAGATGAATTTTGCCGGCGCCCAGAAAGAGTTGCCGGGGTCCCCGATACCCCATGATGATTTTTGTCGGCGCGCAGAAAGAGTCGCGGGGTCTCCGATACCCCAAGATAAATTTTGTCGGTGCCCAGAAAGAGTCGCCGGGGTCCTCGATACCCCATGATGAACTTTGTCGGCGCCCAGAAAAAGTTACCGGGGTCCCCGATACCCCTTGATGATTTTTGTCGGCGCGCAGAAAAAGTAGCCGGGGTCTCCGATACCCCAAGATATATTTTGTCGGTGCCCAGAAAGAGTCGCCGGGGTCCTCGATACCCCATGAAGAATTTTGTCGGCGCGCCGGAAATGTCACCGGGGTTCCTGATACCCCAAGATGATTTTTGCCGGCGCGCAAAAAGAGTCACCGGGGTCTCCGAAACCCCAAGATGATTTTTGTCGGCGCGCAGAAATAGTCACAGGGGTTCTTGATACCCCAAGATGATAGATCTGTATACAGAGAGTGTCACCGATGCATCGGGGTCCTTGACACCCCGGATGCCATATTGTCGGTATGCAGAGCACTACCTGTGCTTCGGGGTCCTTAGCACCCCAGCCACCGGCCATTGCGCCATCTATGTGAGAGCGGCGCAAACTATTCGTTAACTTACCGACTACCGAAGGGTCGATTACCGACTGTCGGAAGTTTAGTCGATAAGTTATTGAGTAGTTTCCACCGCTTTTGTATAGATGGCGCAGTGGTCGAACTTATTTAATTCTAGGCGGTCTTTTCAAAATATAAATTTGTCAAATAATAAGTCTAATAATTTTTCGGTCTTGTAACTTAATAATTATCTTTTATTTAACACATATGTATATAATTATCACATCTAAATATGTATTACATCTATACCAGTATGTTATTGGAAATATTTATTTCTTTTTTTCTTCTGTCTTGAGAGTATCAGGATATAGCTTGTAATAGAGTTTTGCATACTCCTTTTTAAGTTCTTCTCTCAGTGCAAAGTATTTTGGATACAGAGCCTTTTCAGCAGGATCCCAATAGTCAAGAACAGAATCTGGTATATCAGCTTCACGCTGATAAGCCACACCACCTGGAGATTCGGGAAACTTTCTTGGCTGCCAATGTTGGTTTTGAAACAATTCTTCCTCGCCGTCTAATAACAGTTGTTTTGCGACACGGGCATCTTTAATATCACGATTTTGATCAAAACGGGCTCTTAATAAAACTGAATGATATCTAAATTAAAAATAAAAACAAGTTACATTTACAAGTTACATACAATAACTGACAATTCGAATATTACCTACCTAATGTCATGCCTAGCATGATAATGATCTCGTATTGAACGCAAAGCACGTCTATAAAGACTCCAAACTCTTCTATTATGTTTAATTAATTCCGATGGTAATTGAGCCATTTGTTTTGATCACTGATTAATTTTCGTAGAAACTGCTGTTGTTTTTAAGGTTACTTACCTAATCATTGAACGATCATATACTACGTATCCAAAAGCTAGATAGGACTTCAGGTATGTAAAAACTGTTAAGATTTAAAATTATCTAAACGAAAATAATATTAATGCATAATAGAATGCCAGTAGCCTTTTTTTCGTTACCTAATTGTTAATATCATAAATTAAAAAATTTACTAATAGCTATTGTATAATAAATTCAAATAGATTTTAATTCAAAACAAAAACGCATAAGAAATTAAGGATTTCCGGTTAAAGCAACGCGACGGAAGTGTAGTTAGTCAGAAAGAATGGCGATTGTCGTTTCATAGGTAGTTCTTAACGAGCGATTCTTAAAACGCGACAAGAATTTCAGTCATCTAAAAAATTAAGCAAATCTTCTACCAAACGTCATTGTGTAATGAATTCAAGCCTTTTTATACATTTTGGATAATAACATTTGTGGCTTTCAATTCTTGAAAACTGTCATATTAAACAAGAAATCCAACCTTCAATTTGTTCCCAAATAACAAGTAGATTATTTTCTTTTACTTACAAACAAATCTTCCTATAATTTTCATAATATATCTTGTTTATTTAGTTTATGAATAACAGTCATTCAAAATAAATGAAACTATCGTTTTCGTTTTTGTTTACTTATGATAATAAATGGTTAATATTTGTTTAACGGACCCGTTTTTATAATTTGTATACAAATTTTTATTTTATTTCCGAATCAGAGATATAGGATCGAGTTTCCAATATTGACGACAACGATTCGTTCCTTCGAACGATTTCCAACGGGCGAAATGATGCCGACGATGCCGCCTGATTCACATAAAATTTCGCTGAAGATCATTGAGGCGATAAAACAACATCCAGTTCTGTATAGCGCCGAAGTAAAGGGTTCTTCTGTCAAACTGCAGGAATTTCGGCAGAAAGTTTGGAAGAGAATTTCCGACGAGCTTGGTCTTGATCGTACGAATTTCATTTTCAACTTTTATACATCTCTAATATGCAATGTTTTTTCGTCAATGAAATAGTTAACTTTTGTATTAAATCTTGTACATTGGTATAGGCTAAGATTTTATCATTCTCTTTTTCATTATAAATAGTATAACAATTTGAATGAATATAAAAATAAAATATAATTTGTTTTACTACATATCAGTAAAATTAATTATATTGTAAAATAATAATAAAAAAAATGTTAATCTTCACAACATAATCTAATTCAAGTTTCATATTTTCAGCTACTTGGGTGAGATTAAGATGGAAAAATTTAAGAGACACCTATTGTCGCATACTTAAATATAAAAACAAAACAGAGAAAGGAGTTCGCAGGAAAAAATGGATTTTTGAGGATCATCTTAGTTTCTTAAAATTCCCGTAAGAAAATGTTTTTATTTAACAATAGTTTTAATATATCTCATTATAAATTAATGTCTATCTAATATCAAAGTAAAGAATATCAAATGTAAACAGACATGTTTCAGGTACGAGTCAGATTACCAACCACAAACCATAGAATTAACTGAAGATTACATTCAAGACATAAATGCTGGTGGCATCAGTTCTGAAGGTTTATTAGAACAGTTAGAAGATCGTAACGACGAAGATTACAGCGAATACTTAGAGGTCCTAGAAGAAACAACAGCCGATCCGATTTTAGATCAAAATTCCTTGGAATTAAACGACAATGGAGATAATGTAATAAAAAACATAGAGGTAGAAGAAGCGATGCAACATGATATCGATACGTATGCGCAACAAATTCAGTCGAAATTTAGAAAAATAAGACCGAAGAAAATGAAAATTGATTCTCTAGAAGTGCCTTCAACTTATAGTATCTTAAAAACTTCATCTTTCAAAAATAAAACGGTCGATACACCAATTTTTGTTAACACGCCGGCAAGTAGTCCCGCAAAAAATTCTACTAAGATAGAAGTAAGTCTGGCATAATTACTTCTCGAGCCGTGGCTCTATGTTATTACTAATACATGTTCTTCTTTTCGTTTAGGAAACGCAGAATAATTACGACCAAGTCTATTTAGCACCGGAAGGAAAGAGTAGCATCGAACTGTTTTTCGATAGTATGGCGCAAACGGTTAAACGACTTCCACCGAAAGCGCAAGCAGATATTAAAATGGATATCTGTAAAATAGTAACAGAGGCGGAACTTAGGTATTCTGGACGCAGTACGCCTCAGAGTACTCAGCAATTTATTGCACCACCTGGAATGATTCCTAAATTAGTTCTTATTCCATGTAGTATGATCGACGGACAAAACCAAAAAGGTTGATCATTTTGAAATCCTTCCTAACGGAAGAGTTGTTGTGATCTATTGGAACAAAAAAGTTAGTTGAATTCGTGCTAAAGGGATGCCCGATGATCAGAATAGGTGAAAACTATTGAAACCAAAAAAACATTTTCACTAGAAATAATTTTTCTATTTAATACCTCGTTTCATGTTTTTATAAACTAAATTGAAAAAAGAACTATGTTAATTATGTATATAAGTATTATCATTACATTTTAAGCTATTGTTACATACAAATATACCTATTTTGTTATGAAAATTTCATATATATCCAACCATCTGATTTTTCTGTTTATAAAGTTATACTTTATTTTTAAAGGATATTAGTTTGGAAAAAGGAATGTTACCAAATGTTTGATTAATAATTTTGGAAAAAATTATCACATTCTTGTTTGTTTTGTAAGAGTAATTTGATTAATTTATTTAACTAATTGTTTAACAAGAAAATAAATAATATAAGAAATTATTGATTTCTTGTATTATTTATTTAACATTAACACATTATATTTTTGCAATGTTTTGAAAATGGTATCAATAGAGGCAAAGGCCACCACCACACAAAGAGATAAAACAGGATTGGTATTGGTCAGAAAGTTCATGTTTACAAAATATAAAAATATTTTATCTCATGCCGATTTTTATAAAGTTCCGGCTTTTTAAACGCTTATTTATTTGACGTCTCACTTTCCTACGTATTTATAAGTCTCCTATAATGTAATTGTCTAATGTTACAAGGTAGAAATATTTTTAACTTTGATCGAAAGTTTTAGGTCATTATACATAAAAATGTTACACTATTTTATTAGATGCAGAGGGCAAGTTAATTTTCTACAAAAATGTCTTATTTGTCGAACGAAATCAATTTCTGCAGAAAAGGTAAGAAATTTTTAGGTTAATTATTTTAATTTGATTGTATACAAAGTTATAAAAGTCATTTTAAGGTCAAATTATCGAATGCCACTCCATTCCATTCATCTGATTATTTCTTAAGTTGTTTGAAAAATTTCAGACCATATCGAATAACAAATTTTTCTATCATTTTTAGGGTACCACCGACAAAGTTCTACAAAATGGACAGGATTCCAGTTCTTCATCTCTAGAGAAATTAAAAAAGAACATAGTATCGATAAAAGAAAGGCTTGTACCATGGGCAAATGAAGATGACAGTGATTTAATCAAATGGATGGGTCAGCCACCTATAATTCCAAAGCATTGTGATATTGTAATTGTTGGAGGAGGAGCTATGGGGAGTTCGATAGCTTTCTGGTTGAAAAAACGAATTTATAAACATATGAAAGTTGTAGTCATTGAAAGGGATCCCACTGTAAGTTTCATTACTATTAATTAATCAAAGTTCATCAAATGATAATCAAGCTTCATTTAATAATACAATTAAAATATTTACAGTATACAGCAGCATCAACAGTTCTCTCTTTAGGTGGTTTACGTCAACAATTTTCACTCAAAGAGAATATTGAAATGTCCCTTTTTGGTGCAGAATTTATACGCAACATTAATAATTATTTAAACGTTGGCGAAGATACTCCAATTGATCCATGTTTTCGTCCTCATGGGTATTTAATGTTAGCATCTAAAAATGGTGCTGAAATATTATCACAGAATTCTAAATTACAGAATTTTCTTGGAGCAAAGAACATTTTGCTACCAGCTACCAAGTTAAAAGACATGTTCCCTTGGTTGAACACGGAAGATATCGAATTGGGCTGTTTAGGATTAGAGAAAGAAGGCTGGTTCGATCCGTGGGCTCTTCTTTGCGCTTTTAAAAAAAAGGCGATGGTCTTAGGAGCACAATATATTACCGCGGAAGCTGAAGGCTTCACCTATAAAGAACAAGGAGATGATCCTTCTGGTCGATTAAACGAATTAATTGTAAGCTTTTAATTTCACTTCATAAATTCTATTGAAATATTAAAAGTATGTTCTGCAATTTCATATCTATTTTTCTATAGCAAATTATTTGTTATTAGGTAAAAACGCCAGAGGGTGAAATCCATAAAATACAATTTTCGATGGCTGTTGTAGCCGCGGGTGCTTTTAGCGGAGAAATAGCAAAAATGGCTAACATTGGTACAGGAGATGGACTTAGAAGGATATCATTACCTGTTGAACCAAGGTATTCGCTTCACGCATTCAACGCAAATTAAAATGTTTGTCGAATTAATCTTTTATTTTACAGAAAAAGATACGTTTATTGTTTCCACTGTAATGATGGACCAGGTATAAATACACCGATAACGATAGATTACTCAGGCACATATTTCAGGTGAGTATCATTTAAAAAATATGAAAATCGAAAACGAAACTTTAGATGTAATTTAAAGGATATTTCTGTTTACTATTGATTACATTTTAATATGTGCTTCAGGAGAGAAGGTTTAGCAGGCAATTTTGTTTGTGGAAGGTCACCGTCCGAAGACGAAGAACCTTCGGTCAAAGATTTAAACGTTGATTATAATTATTTCGACGAACACGTTTGGCCAATGCTTGCACGAAGGTGTACGGCTTTCGAAAGTTTAAAGGTATTTATAAATTTAGAATTACTGAAAGGGGAAAAGGGGATTACTAAAAATTTTCTTACAGTTAAAATCTTCTTGGGCGGGATACTATGAATATAATACCTTTGATCAAAATGGAATAATCGGAAGACACCCATTTTATGAGAACTTATTTTTTGCGACTGGATTTAGTGGTCATGGAATTCAACAATCGCCAGCAGTAGGTAGAGCAGTTTCAGAATTAATTATTGATGGTAACTTTCAAACAATTGATTTATCAAATCTTGGTTTCGAAAGATTCATTAAAGGTAAACTTGCGCATGAAGTGAACATTATTTAAGTTTACTTGAAATGTGTTACATCGACGTATAACAAAATTATACATTTTTTATAATTGTACAAAACTGTTGATATTTATGCATTTATGATACATCGAAATATGTAGATAGAAATTATGCAAAATTTTTGACATAAGATAATGCTATCAAATGTAATTTATATGTGTAATATAATAATATATAGTAAATGATCGTCTGGTGAGAATTGATTATTTGGATACAGTAGTGAACATTTATGTTTTTTTACCATTTTTTTTATTTATTACTTTTAAACAGCACCATTAATCAATCAAACTCTTTCCTTTTCTTTTTATTCTCATAGTGTATTATTTTATTTTCCAAGCTTTCTGTAAAAAAATTATGTTTTTAAAAGCAGCTCAGTAAAAATGCAACAACTTGTATACTAACCACAAGTTACTCGTTTCATTAGCGGCTGATACGTTTTTGATTGTACACCAAGAAGTAGACAATCATTTTGAAAAGATAGATTCTTACAGTTCGTTGACTCTTCCAAATCTGATAACATATTCTCAATCATAACTGATCTAATGAAATTAAAATTAAAATTAATTACCAAGAATTAGGTTTCATAATTTATAAATAGAAGTGTACATACTTTACGGTATTTAGAGTCCAATCTTTCTGCAAAACTTTAATTGTGTTTATTAATTCTTGTTCGTCAATGTACCACTCTTTAGTTTCGTATTCGCAATACCATAAATTCAATGGTACTTCATGTGCTAAATTATATTGAGGTTTTCTAGGACATTTTGAAATATCTAAAAGTTCTAAAATCACTTCCGGTTTCTCTTTTTCTTGACCAATAAGTAACAAAACACCCATTAAGCAACGAATCTGATGCCATAAGAATGCTTGACTTGATATGATTAATTGACATATGTCATACCCTGCAAAAAAACATCTTTTGATGTATAATGCTGAATGAGTGAATTCGAAGAAGATTCATTTATGTTGTACACAATAAAAGTATGAACACTATATGTATAGGTATAGTTTATTTCTAAGTGTTCATAAAATTGTGTTCTTTACCTTTTTTTATATTATCTAGAAAAGTATGAATGCAAAGTTTATCAGAAAGTTTAAAGGAAAAGTACTCTGACCTATAGATAATCAATGAATGTTTCAAAACAACGTATCATAGTGATTAAACATTTCAAAGCATACTTTGACCTACAGATAAGTAGTATCTAAATTATTTAAATGATTTAGTATTTTAAATATTTAAAAAAATTCAAAAGGTCATTTCCTAGTGATGAGTTATGAAATCCTTGGCTTTCGAAATACTATGAAACAATCTTCAGTAAATGTATCAATGGCAATCTTATTATTATTGACATTAATCTGAAAATAATAGTCACCTGAGAAATTTTTAAAATTTCGCCGATACAGAGATACCTCGGCGTTTATAATGGTTCTCATGTAATTAGTAACACCATTGGCAACATCCATTTTACAAATGTTTCTAAAGTCGTGCTCCCCTATAACATACTTAACAGCTTTATCCATAGCATCTATGTTTAAATTTCCTCTTGGAAAGAAATACTTGTACTTCCGAAATTTGCAATCAAATCTCGCTGAGAAATCATCTGGTACTGGACACCATGCTATACATCTTATGTTAGAAGGGAGTAATCTATTTAATATTTTACAATAAGGAAGTTCATCCCCTAATTTGTTTTGGTCCTCTGGTTTTAAATTGCTTCTAATATCTAATGAAATCACTTGAGAAAATGAACTGACACCTTTGTCGGTTCTGCCGCATCTGTGATAATTAGACGTTTCTCGTGATTCTATGCAACAACTCTTTATTAATGCTGCAAATACATGCTGTTCTATTGTATTATCTGTATTTTCTTGTACAACAAAACCATTGCAATCCCATCCAAGGTAATAAAATTTTAAGAGAATGTGCCTTTTATAACATCTAAAATTTAATTAATATTACTATATAAACTTGATCATAATATTTGTTTTCCTCAATTAATTACATATGATCATATACTTTGAAAAATCAAATGGTTTCTGTGATTTAGAGATAGCATCTCCATTTCTAGACTTTTCATTCCCTTTATTAACTATGGCTTCTAATTGTTTATTTCTTTCTTCCAGTTGTAGTACTTTTTCTATCAATTCCTGACAAAAATATGTATATTATTCAGAAAGTATTTTTAATTTTTTATTTAACATATTCAAACTCATACATATATTTCTAGATGTATTAGTTATATATACTTACAGATTTATCAAGTAATTGAAGCTCTTCTTTTTGTAAAGTTTCCTCTCTTTTCCTTTTACACATAATTGACATTTTGTTACACCATCTTAAATAAATATACATGTTACAACATTACTGTTACTGTTGTTAATATTAGTGATTATAAAAATTGGTCAAATACTTACATCTATGAAACTATATTTCAAATATTTCCAAACATAAATACTGTGTTCATCGCTATCATGTAAGGTTATGTTTTGATATCGTATATAACCTTAAAAGAAAATTAAAAATCGCCATTTTTTCTGCCGAAGCATCTGTCAGTAACTACAGATCCAACAAGCGGTTTTGTATTTTTTTTAAATTTTATTACGCATAAGAGGTGCAGTAAAGGGCGGTTGATCTAACCCTTTTTAACATTTAATATCACGGCTTCACCACCACCAAACACGGTGGGGGTGGGGCCATCAGGGTTGCTGGCGTCAGGAGTGGGGGCTCCAGACGCCTTTGCACGCAGCCCAAGTAAGTAGAAGCCGGCACCGGGTGCGACCCCCAGTGTCGGCCACAGGGTAGGCATAAGGGGGAGGTTTCAATTTGGACCTTCCACCGAGATGGGCACCTGTGTGCTAGGCGTGGAGGGCTTTGAAATAATATACATAAGGTCCCAGAGCCCTCCTTTAACGCCAGCTTGGTCGCCGTGGGGTTTTAGTCAGTAGGAATCTGACACTCCCCCGCCGCCCTCCCCCATGGGACGGCGGGGGGTCTTATGCAAGATTTCCCCACGTTAAAAAAAAAAAAAAAAAAATATTTACAGTCACTGATTCGAATAAAGGTAAGTAAAGGTAAGCAAAATTTAGTTTCTTTTTTTGCCGTCAGAGGGCGCTGATTCAACGTCGAGAATTTAGTTGACATTTTTGCCGCTAGAGGGCCAAAATTGTAGCATGCTTTAGTTCCTTTTTCTGTCCCCAGAGGGCGCTGATTCGACATCGAAAATTTAGTTCACATTTTTGCCGCCAGAGGGCCAAAAATTGAGCATGATATAGTTCCCTTTTCCGAAACCAGATGGCGCTGATTCGACATCGAGGTTTTAGTTCACATTTTTGCCGCCAGAGGGCCAGAAATTGTGCATGATATAGTTCCTTTTTCTGCCCCCAGAGGGCGCTGATTCGACATCGAAAATTTAGTTCACATTTTTGCCGCTAGAGGGCCAAAATTGTAGCATGCTTTAGTTCCTTTTTCTGTCCCCAGAGGGCGCTGATTCGACATCGAAAATTTAGTTGGCATTTTTGCCGCTAGAGGGTCAAAATTTTGGCAAAATTGCCTGAGAGTAAGGGATGCAAGGATGTAAGGGCTGCGGGGATGTAATGGATGCAAGGATCTAAGGGATGCGAGGATGTAAGGGTTGCGAGGATGTAAGGGATGCGAGGATATAAAGGATGCGTGGATGTAAGGAATGCATGGATGTAAGGGTTGCGAGGCTGTAAGGGTTGCGAGGATGTAAGGGTTGTGAGGATGTAAGGGATGCGAGGATATAAGGGATGCGAGGATGTAAGGGATGCAAGGATCTAAGGGATGCAAGGATGTAAGGGACGCAGAGATAAAATCGTCACGTTCTTCCTCCTAATGAATTTATTCAATAAGCTTTGAAGATAAATACAGCAAATTAAATGAACGCAGAAAAACCGAACGAGGTGCGGTAAGAGAGGGTTTGGTGAAACAGGCATGGTCGTCATACCGACTGTGTTCTGTACATGAAGACCTAACTGCGCCTGGGGATATCTGGGACCCCAAAATCATGATCCCTCGCAAACAAAGGCACATCCAGTCTTCTTCTATCTGTAATCACAAGACCAGGACTTGAACTATCAGAACAAAAATGCGTTTTCATTGCCATGAAAATATAAACATGTGTAGATTTTTATTACTGCAGAAACGAACATTTATCACGAGTCGAATAGAAAGAAAAGCAAGCAATGAGTTAAATGATGTTGTTAAATCAAAAGCTAGCCCTAAAAATCGAAACAGATATTCAGATACTGTTTTACTCCCAAGTACTCAGTTTCCAGTACAGTTAAATGGGAAGAAAAGAGTAGAGAAAGATGAATATCTGACTTCAGTGAGTAACTGTGTATAATGTTAAAATATTACCCATTATAAGTATGTTATAATCTATTACTGTATGTATTTTTCATGTATACACCATAAGAAGCGTGGTTTCTCTGAATTATATGAATGGCAAAGAAACAGTCTTTCTGAACCAGATTTTGTTTTACATGATGGTCCTCCTTATGCAAATGGAGTTCCACACATGGGACATGCTATCAATAAGGTTTGATTTAAACAAGAGTTTGTTCCTTGTAACCCATATCACTATATATAATCTATATTTAATTTATTTATGGAACTTTTATGCAGATACTTAAAGACATAACACTAAGAAGTAAAGTTATACAAGGAAACAGAGTTCATTATGTACCAGGCTGGGATTGCCATGGCTTACCAGTTGAATTAAAAGTTATTAAAGATAATGTAAATGATCCTTTGGAGATTAGACAAAAAGGTACAACTACCGTTTTATGTGTCTGGAGACACTTATAATTCATTTTCTTTGTATGAATTTGTTCAGCCCGCGAGTATGCGAAAGAAGCTGTTGCCGAGCAAAAGCGAGCGTTTCAATCATGGGGCGTAATAGCCGATTGGAATGAATCTGGTTGTTATTTTACAAATCAATCCTCCTACATAAAAAATCAGCTTCATCAGTTCATAAACTTGTACGAGAAAGGTGTCGTGTTTAGGAACTTTATGCCAGTCTACTGGTCTCCTTCTTCTAGGTAATATACCTAAGATTAACTTTATGCTGATAGATTAGTGTATCATTAATATTTTCTGTTATAGAACAGCATTGGCAGAGTCCGAATTAGAGTACAATAAGCAACATCAAAGCAAAGCTGTGATTGTTCGCCTACGTGTCGATGATTTACCAGAAAAATTGAATTCGTTCAAGGATCGTACTGTATATGCATTAATATGGACGACTACACCATGGTCTTTGGTAGCTAACCAAGCTGTAGCATTCTGCACGGATGCCATGTATTGTCTTGTTGAAGATAGTACAGGAAATTTAAGTATTGTTGGAGAAAAGTTATTGAATGATTTAGAACCAAAGATAGGTCCTTTAAGGACAGTAGCATGTTTTGAGGGTGAGTTTAGTGTATCAGTCAGATGAAAATGTTTCATTTTAAATGATGTTGGTAACGAGTATTAAGTATTTGGTACTAGGCAAAGAATTAGAAGGTAGAACGTATTTTCATCCGTTCAAAGAAGAGAAGTTACCATTTTTAGCTGCGGGTCATGTGACGATGGACGTTGGGACAGGTCTTGTTCATACTGCACCTGCACACGGTCCAGATGATTTTTTGGTCGCGCTTGAAAACAACATTCGCATCGTAAATCATTCCTTTATATTTTTCTTTTCTCCCTTTCTAACAGTATTTTCAATGATAGTCAATGACACTGACATTTTTTACAGTCGTCAATGGTGGACGCAGATGGTCGTTTCACTGAAACAGCGGGTCCGAAGTTCTGTGGATTGGAAGCATTAACAGAAGGAGTTGATAAAGTCTTGAATCTTATGGCTCAAGATATATTGCATGTTGAAACATTAACGCACAGTTATCCTTACGATTGGCGAACAAAACAACCAGTTCTTATCCGAGCTAGCAGTCAATGGTTCGTTGACATAAATCGTGTCAGAGAGAAAGTCATTGTAAGCTATTTTATTAAACGTTTTGATCACCCTTTCGATGATATTTTCACGGTAATTATTATAATAAATGTTACTCTATAAAGTAATAGAGCAGCACTTATCTTAACTTTATAAGGACAGTATCAATGATGTGAAAATATATCCAAGGTGTAATCGTACATCTGTTCTAAATGCTTTACTCGCTGGAGTAAAGAATCGCCCGTATTGGTGTATTTCACGGCAACGTTTCTGGGGAACACCAATACCTGTACTTTATAGTAAAACGACAGGCAAGCCGTATACGAATAAGTGAGTATATCGTTCTCTGTACAACTTTGTGTGCTACTTATTTTTCACACTCTTTCCAGAGAATTGGTCGAACGATTATGCCATTCAGTTGATCGATATGGTCCTGATTGTTGGTGGGAATACTCGGCGAAGGAACTAATAGGGTCAGATGTAATCCAAGGGCTGAATATTGACGTAGATGATGTAGAAAAAGGAGAGGTAAATTTAAGCAAAATATTTACTTAAAGATTGTTAATTTACTTAATAATTTAAAATTATTTAGGATATTATGGATATTTGGTTTGATAGTGGTATTTCCTGGTCATTCGTTTTACCGGAAGGAAAAGCAGACCTTTATTTAGAAGGACACGACCAGTTCAATGGCTGGTTCCAGTCATCCTTAATAACGTCTGTAGCCTTACAAGAACGTCCACCCTATAGGTAACTATAGATTAAGACAAGATTCGGAAATGGAAACACGTGAAATACATATGCATTCTGGTTATTTGTTCAGTGCATTGTTTGTACATGGATTCGCAGTGGATGAAAATGGCTTAAAAATGTCCAAGTCAGTTGGAAATGTGATAAATCCTGAAGAACTTTTACTGGGTGGGTCGAATTTGAAGAGAAGTCCAGTGTATGGTGTCGATATTTTAAGGTATGAAAACGTAACATTATAAAACGATATCATTTTCATTTCTTTGTTTCTATGATCTTCGTTTAGATGGTGGGTGGCTAATCACGGATCTCAACACGTTCATGTCCCAGTTTCAAAAGAGTTACTCGACGAATGTAAACAGTGTATTAATAGAATACGTTTGATACTGCGTTTTCTCCTAGGTGTTTTAAATTCTGATTGTCGAAATGTAAATTACGAGCCACAATATCGAGTTATCGACAAATACATGTTGTATTCGTTGTATCGTTACAATGAACAGGTAATGTTGGTATAACTTTTCTACGCAAACAAATATGATGACCATTATAGAGATAATAATAATTATGTATTCTCAGATGCAACAACATTACGACAATTACGAATATCATCATGTTGGCAAAACTATAATGCATTTTATAGCGAATGATGTGTCCGCTCTTTACTGCTCTTTAATTAAAGATAGACTTTATTGTGACGAAGCGACGTCTTCGACACGCGTTGCAGCTGTACAAGTTGTGAAAGCTATTTTAAATGTACTTTTGAGAACTATGGCACCGATTCTTCCTCATTTAGCAGAAGAAGCATGGTTGCATTATTCCGGAAATAATGGTAATTTTTCTTAACAAGGAAAACAATTAGCAAACGTGCAAAATAGAAACGTATTTCTATTAAATTAAACCTATATAATCATAGAATCGGTGCTACCACTATTCTGTTCATCGTACAAAGTATCAGATTCTTGGAATGAACCGGAAATCACAAAGTACGTGGATGCAGCGCTTCGACTAAGGAACGATCTATTAAAAACTGTGAATACAACTACATGGAAATTGTCTGGTATCATAGAAGCAACAAAAGAAGATTTTTACTTTCTTTCCGTAAGTATACGTGAGCGACAAGAGGGAGGATAAAGGAACGATATCGTTGTTTTATTCGTTTGCAGCTTCTTCATGGTGAGAAACAATCGTCAGTGTCCGAATTATGTGAAATACTACAATTATCTTCGGTGACGTTGATTGAAAATCAAACGCTCACAGAATCACAAATCCAAGTACAGGATATTCAGAAACCATTGTGTGAACGATGTAGAAGGTATCCTGAAACTCAGAAGGACGGTCTATGTTCGCGTTGTGTCAGTGTACTTGGTAAAGATAAATCCGTGGCTGCGAGTTTATAATACATTTTAACCGTATGGCCAATAAAACAGTAAAATTTTCAAATGAAAACTACGAAAAATTTATTAAAGCTCCGAAAGAGCTGCGGAACCTCGATAATTCTTAACAGTCAGATCATACATCTGATTGATGTTAAGAGCATTTAGAAAATGCATTAAATGTGGTTGATATCCACTTGTGGCTAGTTTAAATACAACATGCGCCATATATGCCCGCAACTCGCAAAACGCTCGGTACATTTGTTCAAGTTTTTTAAAATTAGGATGTACGTATCCTGAGGATTTGGCAACCCAATTTTGGGATCTTAATCTATTATGGAATTTCAAAATAACTTTGAATATATTATTTAAACATACGCGTACCTTCTCACCGCGACTATTGAGCATGCATCTGGAAAAAAAGGAAGAGAAAAAATCGTTATTTTTTATACGCAATCGAGAGAAATGGCGGATAGCTACTTACCGTGAGAGTATCCGTTTTATGTAGTTCACGTGTGACAAATAAATTTGATCTACGGTTAACGAGTTCTCCAAATCCATCTCGAACTCTGCCCAACTCGAGTGCAAGATACTGCACGTTAAATAATTATGCAAAGCATTCATAAACTGTGTCATAGAATGCCTATACAATTGCAACTGCAAGGAAATCGAGAATGATCAATTAGAAGGATGATTAAAAAACAATATTAATTCGTGACACATACTTTATGATATTGCTCCGATGTCGTCGCTTTCCGTTCTCTTTTCATTACGTTAAAGTCTTCTTGCAACACCCACGAGACACGACCGCTGGTTATTAAAAATTTAAATACTCTGCCGTATTGTTGCATCACTGTTTCGTCAAGAATAATGTTAAGTGGCCAACTGATTTTATAGTTAAGTGAAAGACAATCCAATGCAGTGGGGTCGGATATCTGTAAAGTAATAACGCCATGAATCGAATGATTGCATTTAAAACGAGAGAATCGTAGGAAATGAAATTTACGTGTAACTGAGCTGGCGTGTCCGTTGCTGAAAGACTTAGTAATTCCGAGTTGACGTAAACGTTACTAAAGGAATGAATGAGCGCCCGTTCCAAAAGATTAGTTAACGTGGCAGAATTAAACAATTCGATAGGCACGGAGATCTGGTACAAACGGGAGTAAAGGGAGTCTGTTAAACTCTTCGCAAATTCTCCGTTCAGTAAGAAGAAGTAGCTACGTAGACTGTGCAAATGGGAGAGCAAGTTATTTTCCTTCAAAAAGTATTTAATTATGGCATTGTTAACGAGGCGGCTCTGTATGTCAAGAGGAATACGAATTGACTTTTCCAAGTAACTTTGAAGAGAGGTATGATCTATTATCTCAACATCGGCAATGGTCAAGGGAGCTGTTGTCGATGGGGACGTGGCACCCGTTGTTTCCAGCATACGAGCTAATCCAAACATATCTGAAAACGTTGAATCACTTTTCATGGTTACGGAGGATTTTGTCATTGTATTCAAGGAATTAGATGCAAGGATGTTTGACACTTCCATAGAGGATAGAGTGGAATACTGTGAAACAGGACTCTGTACCGACGAAGCAAAATTATCCGTGGTGGTACACGACATCGGTGTTTCGGGATTATTTTCTCTATTGAAATTTGTATCCGCAACGTAACAGACAGCTTTTCTCGTTCCCTCGTTCGTCGACTCGAGGGTCAATTTGATCCGCTGTATGTCGAGCTGGTTATTATTTGGCGTCATGAACTCGTTCTTATCGATTTCCGGTTGCGTCATCGCATCTTCGATTTTCAGAACATTTAAAAAAGTAGGTCTTTCAATTTCTGACGGTCGATCCGTGCAACGAATCTTATTTGTTACATCTTCGTTATCGTTGCTTATCGTCTCACGCACGTGGCTCGTAAATGAGGATCGGCTTTGCGGCATGTTTTCTCGATCAATTTCACTGTACGGTTTGATCGTTACGTTCGACGTGAATTCTTGATAAGTTGTCCTCGCGTAATTCTTATTCTCATCTTTATAGGAGATCGGTGCCACGATAACGGGATCTGATTCTAATACAGAACGACCGTCGTCAATTATTTCCAACTGATCCTGCGAATCTAGCGCGATGATTCTTTTATCGTAGAACGTCATTCTTCTGGCCCGCCACCGAGTACGTATGCAACGTTTATCGAGATCGTTCGTTAGATTCTCATAATGATTCAAAATATTTGTTTTCTGAGCAGCAGTCACTGCATTCCTGTAATTACGATTAACAGTTTCGATCTGATCCAAATACGAAAATATAACTGATAATTTATTTACTATACCGTTCAATATCGTACTGCGAATTTTTTTTAATTATATTTCCCTGTTGGTCGCGTTCAATCTGTAACTGTGATTTTTTCGACAGCTCGTATTCTTTCTGTTTCTGCAGTCGTAATTCTTGTACATTTACTGAGAAATCAGGTTTATCAAATGTTTTTAATATAATTCCTGGTTCCCCTGCAAGAAGAAAAAAGAAGGCAATCTGTTACCGATTTGTTATATTTTGAAATTGTGCTTTTAATACACGGAATACGTTTACCATGAATTCTCAAGGCTGGGTCGGTGGGTGTAGGAACGATGATCTCAGTCATGCTTTTCTCCATCGCCTTTTGATCGGAAATAGCCGTAGAAAGAGAAAGTAGAGGACCAAGAGCAGATTTACCTTTCCTTTCGTATTCTCGGCATCTCGTTAATTGTTCGCGCAGCGTGCTTACGCTTAAGCAAACGTTTACTTCTGGTTGTTCGGTTATGCAAACATGACAGACTGGATTCTAAATTTTCACGATATCGAGATCGATATGATACGATTTGTTCTACTAAAGAACGTTTGCACGTTACGCTTTGTCGAGTACGCTTACCTTTGGATCGCAAGTTCTTAAAAGTCTTACTGTCTTTCCACACTGAAGTATCGATTCCGCTAGATCGTTTAAGAATCCTGGTACCGAATCGCTAAAAACGGAGAAACTTTTTGTCCAAAACCTATGACCTCGGTTACGCAAATACTGTGGTCGTGTTTTAATCATAAATTCTCCGTAAATGTCGTCGCATATTCCTTCGAATATCCATTTCTGCAAAAATCTAAAACCGATTAAATTAAAACGTTTATAAGTTTATACGTATCTTACTATATGTTCAGATAATGCGTACCGAAAGTAAACTTCACAGCAAGACTTCAATAAAGAATAGAATACCAAAGCAACTTTGCCGTCGGTAATTTTAATCGCTTCGTTATATATTCTAGTAAGAATTCCATTTCCTTCTCGAACCGTGTTCTGACGTTCCTTGTAAGGTTCGCAAATCTTAGCAACTTTAGTGATCAACGTAGTGACAGAACGTACTTTCTGCAACAAATTCAGTAATCCACTTCGTGATTCATCTTGGTACGTAAAGATCCTTAAGAGTACCGCTTGATAATAAAGCAGTAATTCTTTGATGCTCGTACACATGGCTTTAAATATCAATCCTTCTTGCTGCAACTTGCTATTTTGGAACTTCGACGTGACAAGATCGGATAGAAATGTAAAGCAGTTACCCCATTTAACTGCGTCCTGGCAAATTTTCTCTAACGATTCTGAATGCATGCCATAGACGCTAATATTTTTCCTAAGGGTAAATCCCGTCAGGTGGTCATATTGAAAAGAACTTGATTCTACACCGAGTAACATTAACTTCAAATCGCTGACGAAATCCTGGCCAGAAACTTCTTCCGGAAAAAGTAGAGAATTCATGATCTTTTCTGAAAGTAAAGGTAAACTATTCGTTTGTTTGATTTTCGTCAGGTGTATTGCTGCAGCCGACGTGTCGGTAGCAAACACTGGTTCTTTAGTAGCCTCAATCTTCCCCAAACATTCCCATGTATGGTAATCCGAACTAGCTGTACCGTTAAGCTCAAATTGATTCCATACAAAATTCCACATATCCGAGCTGTTGTCCGATTCATCGTCATCGCTGTGTTTAATACGTTTCCACGTATCCGTAAAACTTTCATTTTCTATGGTAATTTCTTGGATAAAAGGAAAACACAAATAATTCGTTAAGAATCCTCTTTTCCATGGATTAATTTGTACAATCTCGTTCTTGTTTTCATTCATCTAAAAAGATGAACAATTTAAAATGCCTTCTATATTAACTTCTTGATGCAAAGGAAAATAAATTCAATATAAAATTACTTCTTACCATATCGTCTTGCAACATGTACGAACTTAATTCTGAATTTAGTGTAAACTGTTGATCCGGAGACAACAAAGTATACGACGATTCCGTATCAAATGCATGATTGGACATAAAACCCGATGCGGTACATACACTGAAAAACACAAAAGTTAACATTAAAATTATTTACAAAAGGAAGAACTACCGTGTGTTCGCTATGTGGCTTACTCTATGCTTTCTATTCCAAGTAAGTTTCGGCATTTCATTGCACCACATAAGAAAGGTCGTTCGTTTATCGTATTTGACGGTGTAGTGCGAGTGATTTGGAATCTTTGCGTTTCCAATGTTGCTTCAAATTTATCTGATGATACAAAACATTCCATGGGATATACTTGAAATGGTGGTACGCTATTGGTAGGATATGTGATTTCTGGTACAGCTGGATTTGTTTTGCCATAGTAAAATATATTCTAGAAATTGCAACAAAATATATGAGAATACATAAAATTTTATCCTTCTCTGTTTAGTGTTTAACATTTAAACCTTACTATTATTGGCTCAGGATTAGTCTTGAAATTTTTTAATTGCACTAATAATTGCAAAACAGAAATAACTTGTATTTCAGAGTACGAAAATTCTTCTATCTCCTGTAGAAGATTTTCTAAAGCGGTAGCATCATGTACATGCTTCAATTCTAGTTTCAATACAAAGGCATGTTTCTGTACTTCTATTAATGGATCTGTGTCTGTGCTATCCCTGTAACCTATGCAAACGAATAAAATAATAAGAAAGATGAAAGAAACAATTGACTGAAAAATAAAATATGTTGTGGTAAAGTATTAACACATACTAGCGCTATACTTACAACTTTTATTTAACAATATTTCAAATGCTTTCGTTCGAAGATGTTTAATCGCTTTAATATCGTGTTCGTAAGTAAATTGAACATTTCCACAAACAGATCGATACGTTTGCAATATATGTTTGCTTAATTCAGTAACGAGACCATAAACACTGGTCGCATCTTCTTTGACGTTCATTGTTGTATGCGTGCATTTGTTAGCGATTAAAAAATAGTATTTTTCAGTATAATATGACGATGTTTATTCGTAGTTTTTCACAAGAATTGTTACAATTTCTTTAACTTTAGTTGTTGACGTAGATATATGCATATATATGCGTGTATAAATATACATTACGCTTGCGTAATTATCTACATGTCAACATGAAGTAAGGTTATGTGTATTAAAATCAATGAAAGTACAGTTTAATTAATATTTAAATAGTACTTCGAACTATCATATTGCATCGTACTTTGTGTTGTATTTTATTGAGATTTTACATTTTCGATGATTCCGTAAGTCTTGTAGAGATATTTTCGGTGTGTTAAATTTCACGTCATTAACCTCAAAACAGCCGCTGAAAATATCGTGTCGTGTAGTGTTATTTTCTGTTCAAATTGAAAGTTATTGCGCGCGTATACGTCACGTGATACATTCGTATCATTCGAATTATAAATCAACAAAAAGCAAGGTACGTTTCTTCAGATAAGTTGAACAGTGCAAGAAACAGTAAGAAAGCGGAGACGTGGTACAATACATACAACATATAAGCAAGTGAAAAAAGAAAGTAGGTATCAGCGTAAATGCACGCCAATTATTTTCTTGTATACAACTATTTATCTTTCCATTGTAAATAATCAATATTTGGAATATCAACGTCAAAACATAACAATAACAACGTCGGTAAATAGATGACATAACGATGAAATAAATAATAAGATAGGTACACATGTTTCTTCACCTATGTACTTGCGTTTAAATTTGCAGCAAAGAAACTGGTGAACCTGGTAACTAACCTATCGATGTTTTCTTTTTTCTTTTTTTTTCATTATTACGTTCATTTTATAATCGCAATGCAGTTGTACGCAATTAATTTATCGTAGTAAATTCGTTGGTCAGTCGGTCAGTCGGTCGGTCGGTCGGTCGGACGGATGATCGATTGATCGATCGGTCGGATGAACGAACGGACGGACGGTCGGTCGGTCGGTCAGTCAGTTGGTCAATCAGTCAATTAATCGATCGATTACTCGATCGGTTGCTCGATAAATTTTGCAAACGATTTCATTAGCGTCGTAGTGAAAAATAATTAATGTATTTTCATGTCTTCCCTCTTAACGCTATCATCGATGTTATTAAACGATATCAATCCATGGCCTGGGTCAGATACTACAATTTTGACTCGTCATTCTTGTTCCTGTTCTATCCGTACGAACAGTGTATCTTTCTCCGACATTACTTCTTTCTCCGGCGGTAACTAACTCGTACTCTATCCGCGTCTATGTATCTAGTTATCTGTTCAGTTTATCTGTCTATCTATATCTATCTGTCTACTTGTCCTTTTCCTCTCTCTCATTCTATCCCGAAGGAGGGTTTGCTCACTCGGTGCTATGTCTACGTACTCCCGTACTCAGGAGAGCGACGCGTGGGCCCTTCTGGCACTGAAGTCGGCACCGGCCAGTCCGACGAAGATGCAGTGGAACCCGGAGGCAAAGGGTGCACCGATTGCACGACTGGAGGGTCGCGAGTTCGAATACATGGTTAGACAGCGACGTATCACTATCGGACGTAACAGCAGCAGGGGTGAGGTCGACGTCAACATGGGCCACTCCAGCTTTATCTCGCGACGGCACCTTGAAATATTTTATGATCACCCCTTTTTCTTCATGATTTGCAACGGTAAAAATGGTGTATTCGTTGACGGAGTCTTTCAACGAAAGGGCGCGCCTGCCTTTCAATTACCAAAGACGTAAGATATATTTCGAACTCTTTATCTAGTCAACTTAACCTTTCTTGCACGTTTCTCGGCATGCCAGTGGCCAAGCTCTTTGCAACTTCATCACACGATCTCTCTTCTGTCTGACGGTATTGTTTCAGTTGAATCGAAACAATACAGGATACAGTTTGTCATCGCTTTCTCGGCGATGACGATTTGTTTTTCTTTTTTTTTCTTCTTTTTTTTTTAACTTCAATTGCAAAAGTTTACACAGTAATGGTAAAGTTTGTTTTCAAGAGTAGAGACATTGAAAGAATTTATTCCAATCAAGCACAATGGTACGGTCACTGGCAGCAATTTCTTTAGAGACTATGGTTTGAATTTATTTGTAGTTTCTTTAAAATTAGAGTAGAATAATACTACAGTATTGTTCCTTTTGTTACAGATGCACATTCAGATTTCCAAGTACAAATATCAGGCTCGTATTTCAGTCATTAGTGGACGAACAGGAGCAGAACAATGTACGCGTACCTTCTCCACCAAAACACAGAGCACCGTTGCCACCTTTACGTATCAATATTCCGGATACAGGATATAGCAGTCCGTTTCCTTCTCCCACTGGAACTATCAGTGCTGCTAATTCGTGTCCTGCTAGTCCACGAGCAGGACAGGGAAGAAGAAACATATCTGCGGACCTTCAAATGGTGGCAGTGTACGCAGCTGCTGTTGCCAATGATCCTCAAAATTCAAATTTGGAAAGACACGAGGGTGGACAGAGTTCTAGCAGACAGATAAGCCCTGAGCTAAGCGTGGACTCTAGATACAGAGGTGGAAGTAGTGCAGGACCGAACGGTACTGCAGCAAATTGTAGTCCGCCAAAGGACGATTCAAAACCGCCGTATTCGTACGCGCAGCTGATCGTTCAGGCCATAGCGTCCGCGGCGGATAAACAGCTCACGTTGTCCGGGATTTATTCGTACATTACGAAGAATTACCCGTATTATAGAACGGCGGATAAAGGGTGGCAAAATTCCATAAGGCATAATCTTTCGTTGAATCGTTATTTCATTAAAGTACCGAGAAGTCAAGAGGAACCAGGGAAGGGTTCATTTTGGCGAATCGATCCTCAGTCCGAAGCGAAACTGATAGAACAGGCATTTAGGAGAAGAAGGCAACGTGGCGTGCCATGTTTTCGAGCTCCTTTCGGACTCTCGTCACGGTACATACGTTTTTTTTATACATTCTAATTAATGTATAACGCGTAAGAAGATTTAAGCGAGAAAAAGAAATTGAAATGTTTAAACTGATGTAGGAGTGCACCCGCTTCACCGTCTCACGTAGGAATCAGCGGGTTGATGACACCAGAATGTCTTAGTAGAGAAACATCGCCAGGCCCAGAATCTTATCCGGACAGTTCTGTACCCTCTCCGGCTGGTCAATTGACTAGTCAATCCGCACCAGGATCACCCGGTCATCCGTACGCGCCCTCGAGCCAGTCGTCTCATAAGGGTCGTCTGATGCAACAGATTACCGTTGTCACGAACGGTGTTACGAGTGATTCAGCTAGAGAAGGTAATCTTCTTTTTCTTTATTTCTTTTTTTAAGAGTATTTGTTCTCTTTTCGACACTTTCATTTTCATTGTCGCCTTGTCGTCCTCTCTACCTACCTGTTTAAATGTAAATTTAATTAATAGATAAGTATGTCGTATCCGGAAATGCTGCAGAAGAACATTCTCTTTCCCCGGCCGGTCAGTACAGTCCGGCTCCTGTTATTGTACAAACGACGTATAACTACAGGTAGGAGTTATGGATTTTTCGTACGTATTAACGTTATCGTTGGTTCGATCTCGATGAAAATTAATGGTTATTTTCTGGTGTCGGGTGTAGCGGAAGTTTTATTGGTCCCGACGCAGGCGTCGGAGTTTCAAAGCGTCCGCACGAGGAATCGGATAGTTCACCAGGTTCACCGGCACCGCTTGCAATCGTCGAAAGTCCCGAGCCATCCGAACACCAACAACCACAGACGAAACGTCAACGCGTTCACGATATGGACGATCATTGAATCGTTGTCCTATGGCATCGTTACGTAGGACATTTGTTACATTGCGCTAATTCGTTCATTGACAAATATATCTGCACGCGCGTGTACCCCCTCATACCTGTTCGTGTGTACGCCCGGTAAACGGATACACGCTTTAATATCCGATATGTCGAATCCATGCCCATAATCCATATCACGTCTTGATATCCACCTACATAAAACCCTCATGTTTGTACGCGCGCGTACAAATACGTACTACATGTACACGTTACACCCAATGCTGTACTATCATTCATTTTATTACATAATGATTAGTTTAGTCCGCGTATGGATAAATACTCGACCCAATTCATTGTTTTACGCAACAAGTGGGAACATTTTCATGCGAGGAAAGTGAGAAGACAATGTATTATTCCCATGTACCGTGTTCTGACTTGTATCGACATTCAGTTTCTCGTATCCGTTATCTTTTATTTTTTTCTTTTTTTTTCTTTTCTTTCTTTTTTCCTCTCTCTCCGGTTACATCGTCGACGAATCTGTATTATAACACGTATACCTGATATACGGTTAATCGAGTACATTTCCTTGGTCTTTTTTCATTTGCAGTGTCGGTACAGGGAGACGACGCGAGCTTTCGCGCGTTCGTAGCAAGAAGGGATTAATTGTTTCAAGACGTTTGTATAGAGAGGATACGTCGGATGAGAAACTAAGTACTTTGCAACGACGTGTATCGAAGAAGCTGAGAATCTCATTGTCGATAGAAAAGAAAAAAAAAAGGAGACGTTGCATTATTAGATCAGCCGATGTGGTTCGCGTGTACGCAGAGAAGGAAGAAGCTAGTATCTCCTGTCGTTCAAGATGAAAGGAGCCTCGTGCAGTCTTTGCAATTATTCTGTACACGTGTTTCGTTGAACGCGCAACTATCGCTGTAAAAGGTTTGGCAAAATCGGGAAAGACGTCGTGTTCCCGATCATTGTCGTTTTTTTTCGCCGATCGATCGGTATCGATGATGCCGCTGTTCATGTTCGTCGGGATGCTCCGGGAAGCCGTAGACACGAATCGTAGATTGTAGTTGTGCGTACGATTCTACAAAGTTTCTATTTAAAGAACAAGCAATAATTTTACGCTGAATACGTCGATCGAAATTTCATTTTGACGTGCCTGTTTATCTAACGAAGATATTAACGTACTATAATCACAAACAGGAAGAGGTGATAGTATTTTTGTTGCCACTTGTAAATAAACTCTTAAACGAATAAGTACTTGTCGTTTCGAGCTGTTTCGTTCTCGTTCGTAGTGTCTCTCCTAGGTTTTTACCGCGTTGCAAACGATACCGATCAACTTGATCTCGGTTTCTCTCGTTAAACGATAGTGGAACGGTACTCGTCGGCCTGTTATTTGTACAGAGATGCAATTGTAATCCGGACAAAAGTAGAAAAGAGACATTTTTTCCTCGATAAGTGGATTGTAAGAGAATCGAATCGTCGAACAAGTAACGTACGAATTGAACACGATTGTTTCACGAGAGGAACAGCTGGGACCGTTTTGCTCTTTCCTATTTTTTTTTCTGTTTTCTCTCTGTTCTTCTTCTCTCACGATCGAGTTTTCAAAAGCGTTGGCTGGTCGAAACTAACTGCAGTCGGACGATAAACCTCGGGGGAGGGAACGAAGTTCCCGTTCGATTCGGAAGGGTTGACGGATTGACCGCATCCTGATTAACGAAACCTCTTATTTCTACTTTTAGACTTGCTTTATTGCTCCCGCGTTACCATTCGTTCGTACGTTTGACCATTTTATTTCTATTTTTATAAGCTTTCAGCGCATCACGAGGTTGTTCGTCGAACGCAAATCGCTGGTAATTTGGTCCATCGATTTCGAGCAGCGAGAAAAGAGGGTAAACAGGGTGAAAAGAGAAAGAAGGCGTCGTCGTTGTTTGTTAAGCTCCGAAACGGCGTACATTCTCGGGGCTATTATCGATTTATTTATTTCGATCGATCGTTTCATTTGGTTGACACGGACGCCAGCGTAGGAAGGATTCCGGCACGATCGAAGAAGGGAAACGATGAACAGCTAATTGAAACGATCCGCTCGAAAGGTGCCCGATCGTTAAGTATCGAATGGTAGATCGCTGTCGAATGTGAAACTACTTTTGAAGTGGACACCGGAGCAAAGGGAGAAAAGAAAGAAGCAAAAAAAAAAAAAAAGGATCGTTAGAGAAAGCAGAAGTGAAAAAGAGAGGGAAGCAAAGGGGGAGGCGAGAGAAGGCAAGAGGGAAAGCGAAGAAGAAAGAGGGTGTAGCGAGCTTGCGCGACGTTCGACCCGAATCTCTCGTCGAACGTTAAGCTAGCCAGCCAACCAGCCAGCCCATCCAGCTATCCAGCTATCCAACCATCCAGTTAGCCAGCTAGTCAACTGGACAACTTGGATTTAACCGTGTTCCAAGCTTTCCAGCCAGCCATCGATGGAAGCTCAGCTACCTTGTAACCGGTACAGTACCGATACCATATACCTTTTTTCCATTCTCATTGCCTGAGCTTTCCTTCTATCACGATTACCATATACACTTCCATTCTTTCTATTTTCTCTTTATTTTGCTTACCATTTTTCTTCTCTGCTTTCGATCTTCCTATCGTTAGCACAGCATCGAATCATTAGTGGGGAAAAAAGTTGCTCCTGTTTTACATTTGTGTACGAGATCGCGATCTACATAGTTGATCTCGCACGTTTGTGTACCTGTGTCGTGTGTGTGTGTGTGTATGTGTACGCGCAGGTTGGCATAGCAATAATTCGGCAGAAAGATTCGACGCGGTGTTAACGAAAACGAGTGGCTAGAGAAGCGGAGGAAATGTGAAAATTCCGATAGGGAAGACGGGGTTTTTCGGTGATTGCGATAACGAGTATGTTTCTGAGTACGGAGAGAAAGAGTTGTTTGCCAGTATACTTTCTACGTTGTTAGATAGATGATATGGATATCTTCGGTTTCCATGATTTGGCGAAGGAACCCTGTCTGCGCGAGCGCAGTATTTAGCGCGTATTCGGTGTGCCGATACGATAATGCGAGGTATACCTTGAATAGAAAAAGGGATAAAGGGAAAAGGAAATGTCATACGTTTCTGTCGCACCGAGTTCTTTGGTCTCTCGTCGAATTTGGGTGCGATTTCAAAGCTCGCGCATACCTTTGTAACCCTTTCCTTTCATCATTGCATCGCGACGATCTGTGTTAAAACAATTAGTATCTTGCAAATGCGTTTTTTGTTTACTATCCGTAACGTTTCATCGGCCTATCGTGACAAATATAACATCGACCTCGTTACGGAGGTGGTAGTTGGAGGTGCAAGTAACGTTCCGCGCCTCCGTGTAACAGAATTTATATATTTATTTGGGTTTCGTTGAGTTTGTTTAACAAATACAGGGTGTAGTGTACGATATCGAAAAAGCACGTGTTCGTACCGCGGTAATCGTTCATTACTTCTCTTTCTGTTCTTCTCTCGTGTTAGCTTCGAATTCAAAGTTCTACCGTTTCTCTTCGATTCGCGTGAGGATCGATTCGTGCTTTCTCATTTTGCTTGAAAATCGCGGTATCGATACGATAAAGGGGTAAATAAAATACGTGGAGGAGAGAGAGAGAGAGAGAGAGAGAGAGGAGATTATCAGGCGTAGAACAGTGGGAGGTAGAGAATATATGTATATGCGATTTGCTCGCTCCTGAATTGTCAACAAGAGGAGAGTTAACACGGATTGAATCAATTATAGCCCCGTTTTGGAGTGAACGGGTGAACCGACGGAACGAGCAACTTCCGGGCATGGTCAATTCATATAACGAGCAAATGAATTTCTGTTGAGAATTCGTCTTTGACGTAACAAACGCGAGGCTGACTCCTATAATTATGTTTATAGTTACAGGTGGACGGTGAAAAAGAACGAGCGATGCTAAGGAGAGAAATTGATAGATCGGATTGAGGCTTCGCGGAGACCGAAGTGGACCACCTACCTTGGAATGGTTATACCGGTGCTGTCGACCACTTGGGGCTGGGGATTCTTTCTTCTCTTCTTCTTCATCTTCACCAGCCCCAGTCCTGCCGCCATCCGTAGAGGTAACGCTTGCTTCAGCTCACCGTACCTTCGATTTCCATTTAGCCGCAATTCGTTTCAGCTGATCGAGATCACTGCAATAAAACGGTAGAGATATACGAGGATGTATCGAGCCCGGCTGTGACCGCGGCGAATTGGGGGAAACCTCTGTCCTGTTGGTACCGTTTTCGAGCGTTTCGCGGAACACCGCGAGATTGGATTCTACGAGTACGTTTTAAAAAGTTTAAGGTCGGCGTGCTGGAAAATGCGACCACGTGCATCGGCGGTTACCTGCAGGTAAATTTTCATCTCGGTTTCTGCGTAACCAAGGTAAAGGATAGAAATTTTTAACGCGGTGTACAATTTTCAGATCGTAGATGGGAACACGAAAACGGAGGTGAGCAACCGGAAGGATCCGGGAGTGTATTGCGGGGAATCGGAACAACCGCAGACGTTCATCTCGGAAACGAGTTTCGTTCGAGTGATATTTCACGCGGACAACTTTACCGATCAAACGTACTTTAGCTTCGATTCACGAGCGGAACAACAGTACGAAGTGTATTTGAGGTATGGCCAACATCCGGAGCTTTATCCGAATCGGAGGGGCGAGATCGTGCCCGGAAGCTATTGCGAGCGAGTGTTCAAAGATTGCCGGCTGCAAACGTGTTACGTACAGAGCCCGGCTTATCCGGGCATTTACCCGCGCGCGTTGCACTGCAAGTACCGCTTGAACACGCGGTTACCATTTATAAAACTGTACATCGAGAACGAAGAGTTCAACATCGACGGGCAGAGATGCGAGAACATAATGACCTGCCCGATGAGACCGATAAGCTCCGGATCGGAGCACTGCCCGTACGATTACATACGCGTGTACGACGGGAAGGACGAGAACAGTCCGGCGATCGGCACCTTCTGCGGCATGGGTAAATTCCCGTACAGCATAATCGGCACCAGCGAGGATCTCTACGTGGAGTTTGTCTCGTCGCCGGCCGGGCCACTCTTGAACACCGGCTTTCACTTCAACGTAGGAAATTGGCCCGGTCACGTGAAGACCGCGGGCGTTCGAAACGGCAGTTGCGACTGGTTGCTGAACAGCGAACCCCTGCGGAACGGTACCGAGGGTATATTCCTTTCGGTCGCTCATTGGTATCCACCGCACACCAGCTGCACCTATCTTCTGAAGGGTCGACCAGGAGAAATCGCCAGGCTCTACTTTCCCAGTTTCCGGGTGAATCGTATCGAGTCACCGATACAACCGTACGACGGCGATTGCGGCGAAAGTCTGACACTGTACGATGCCGATTGGCCGGACGACGCGAAGATCATCAAAACATTCTGCGACACCTTCAGCAAACCAATGGAGAAGCACGATTTCGTATCGAGCTCGAACGCTTTGTTCGTTAAGTTTGAGAGTAAAACTGGAAGTTATTCCGGTAGCTCGCTTTATTACTGGGCCCACTACGATTTCTTCAATGCGACGAGGTTCGGCGTGCCCGTGCCTGGAACGGAATGCGACGAGACATTTGCTTCGTGGAAAGGGCGATCGGGCCGCCTCCGATCGCCGCTAAACACTCTTGTTTACAAGCGACCAGGCGATCCACCGGCCGATCTTTCTTGTACCTATACTTTCATCACGGATAAACGATTGTACGCTCGAGTCATTCTCACTATCGAATCGGTCTCCTTTAAGGAACATCCGTACGCGCAGTGCGGTCATTGTTGGGACAGTCGAGTGGATCGATTGATCATTAAAGAACCGATCGTCGCGGATACGATGGATCAACAGCAACCGCAGGAACAACGTCAGCAATCGCAGCAGCAGCAGCAGCAGCAGCAGCAGCAGCAACAGCAGCAAAGGAATATGAGTATCGGTAGAGGTCACTGTATTTGTCGATCAACGCCGACAGCAGGCGAAGCGAACCCCGAAGGTCAACAATCGGTGCTTCGAATCGTGTCGCGAGGGGAACGGCTCGAATTGAAACTTCTGGTGGATGGTGCCCACGCTGCGGTCAGTTATTTTAAACAATCGACGCCGTTGTTCGAGGCTAGATACGAATTTGCCCATAGCCCGTTGTGCGGACCGGCGATTCTGCCCGCCACCACCGACGGCGAGATCGAATTCCCTCATTACGAGGCTCTCGGATACGTGACTCCGCCTCGATCGATCAAATGCATCTGGGAACTGCGGGTACACCGAGACAGAGACGTCTGGCTGCACTTTGACAAGATCAAATTCGCCTCGCGATCCTGCGAGGACGGGAAACTGGAGATCTTTTTGCCCGGTAATAGCGAACCGTTCATCGGTATATGCGGCGAGAACGTTAGTTACGTTAGAGAGATGCCTAGAATATCAGCGGCACAGATCGCACCCCCGGGATTAAACGCCGGTGATCGTAACTCTGGGACGAACAGAGAACCGATTCTCGCGCAGACCAATCAGCAGCAACCGGTGTCGCCGTCGCCCTCCTCGACGGATCAGCAACAGGAAGAGTACGACGGTTGGCCGACGGTGATAATTCAGTTCACCGGCTCGATGGCTCCTGCGAGGACCGCATTCAAGATCGCTTGGACAGAGTTGTATCACTTACCGCGGGACGCCTCGGGAGCTTTGAACACGCAGAAGCTCGACGAGTATTGCGGATTTCAGTGTCCGGGTGATGCCGGTTGCATTCCAGCCCGATTGCTTTGCAACGGCGTGGTCAATTGCCCGTTGCCGGAATCTAGGTCCGTGTTCCGGAACTCGTACAACGGTAGCGGCTCGCTGACCATCGCTGAGGAACCGAACGACGAGTCTCCGGAATTGTGCGGAGACGATGCTCTCGGTAACCGCGGTAACGTGGATGGATCTGGAAACGGTGTCGGAAATTTGGCCAGCGTAGTTGGTTCCGCTGGTTGGGCGGGTGCCGGATTAGGCGCCGGTCTGGCCATACTTGTCGCTCTAATTTGTTTGATCACCGTTTGCAAGATTTGTCGACGACGGGCTACCCCGAGAGACATCCACGTACCTTACTGACACGTATACAAATTCAGATTCAAATACGGACACCAGTTCGCTCTCTTTACTTTCGCAAGTGTGATCGACGGATGTAGCGGGTTTCGTACGTGTAATGGTAATCGCGCTACGACCGTTTCGTTCTTCTCGTTCGTCGGCGGGAAACGAAGAATAGCGGGAAAATTAGTTGAACGACTGATTAAATAGGTATAGATAGGTAAGATAGGTTTACGCGCATCGTCGATCGACGAACTCTCGTCGTCGCGTGTGCGTAGTGATGCAATCCGCAGATCGTAGGTGATAGGGTGAGAATTTCGAAACTAGATACAACAAGTAAAATACAATCGTTCGCCGGTAAACGCGGTGGTAAAGGGGTAAGGTATAATAGTAGGAACACGGGTCCGTGTGATTCGATTTATCTACGCACGTTTGATCGATGTAAACGGTGATTCGTCAACTTGTACGCAATGTAGTCGCGTTACATATCGTTAATAAGAGAGTGCCTGCGAATGTTCGCACGTGCGCGTCACGCAAGATACGCGCGCGTATGTTATTTCTTGAAGATATGCTGACAACAAATTTGTATATACGTATACGTAGCGTTTAAGAAGAAGTATTCATTATTTTAGATTATAACCGGTGCAAACACCGAACGAGTAATCCTCCGCGTTGAACGAACCGTGACGAAACGAATCATCTTCTTTTGTATATAGTTCGCGTTCTATCCAATTGAATTTAACGAAATATATTTAGATTGTACGAGATAGAGTAACGAATCTAATAGACGCGCGATAACGTACGCATAAACACCAAACACCATTAAAAGTCAGAGACAGAGAAACCGAGGGACGATGCGACATTTATCGCGAATATCTGTTCGTTCTATCGATTCGTAGCCGTTTCTAAGTTGCGACAAAAAAAAACCATCGATCGAGTCGACCGGGAGATTACAGTTTTTCGTTGAGCATCGTTCAGACGCGGTCGACTCGAACGATGGAAGAAGAGGCAACAGACACCGAATCGTTCCCGACAATCGTAACTCTTCATCCGCCAAGATACTCGATCGCTGCTCAATCTTTATTCGTTCAAACTATGTATTGTGCGCACTGGACGCTCTCGTATTTTTTACTCTTTTCTACCGTCACTGTTTTTACTTTGAACCATTCAATCGATGTGACCCATTTTTCTGTGTTCCACCTATTACCTTTATCGGTCATCCTCATCGTCATCATTTGTCATCGTCGTCGCCGTCGTCGTCGTCGATATCGCCATCATTATTATTATTACCACGATCACGTGAAACGTAATCGTTGTATCGTTATCGTTATCGTTATTACTGTTTCTCGTCGTTTACTCTCCTCGATACCATCGTTGCAGACATTATTGCTACTGCCAGTAACGTGTCATCATTATATTATTATATTTTTTACAAATAAAGAATATCCTTGGTGACGAGGTGAAGAAAGGTTGAACATTATTCGACGAATGTTCAGTTCATTTTGTTCTGTTAGCATGTTCAGTTAGAATATAGTCGATATCTTGTAGAATCGACTAATTTCTGTTAAGGAAATCGCGTAACCCTTACCACCGTTTACGCATCCTTATCCCCCTCCCTTCTAACCCTCCACTTCCTCTTTCCTTTCTCCTTCTTCCTGAAGAACAGTCAAATTGACAAGTGGTGAATTCTCCGTATCGAGGATTCGGTTGAAGAGCAAAATGAAATTAAAAGGCACGGTTAAACGGAATCGTGGACCTTTTAGCGTTACCTCCAAATCAAAGACTTCGCCGATGATTTCGAATATTCATGTAGTTACAGAGAATGTGCTGCTGCCGGTAACAAAGACGATCTTCACGAAATGCCATAGTGAAACGAATCGTTCGAAACGGCACGTGAAACTCGTCAAGCCGAGCCAATCTAACGATAACGTAATCGGACCTTTGTTAAAATCACCGTCTAATATACCAGGGAAGACGTATGCGAGTACGCTGCTCCGGGTCGAACAGGTGTCCTCTCAGCTGATTAACTTTCTGCTACGAAAGAAAGGAAAAATTTGAAATGTAACATGTCCGTATGTTTCCAGAGCAAGAGTGGATGGAATAGCAGAGAAAAGAAATTCCTTACAAATGAACGTTCCAAACCAAAGGAGAGTCAAAGGCAGCAACAGAGAACGGAATTACCGTTTCCCTGTCCAATTTCGATTCAACCTGTAACAGTAACACGTACGGCTGTATCACCGAACAGAAGTATCAAGAAATCTTCCAAATTGATGGAGCGAAAAGAAAGCCAGAATCAGAGGAACGTAGAAACTTCAAAGAAATCTTTGGATCTGTTGGCTCTGTCGAACACATCGACTACAAACACGACAGCGTCCAGCAATATTTTCTCCAGATATTCTTTGATCTCTTATTGCGATTCCGCGTTAATGAAGATCGCTCTGATCGATCAAGTAAAGCAAACGTTGTCCAGTAACGTTATCGATCGGATAAAAGAATCGTCGCGATGTTTGGTCGACTCGTCGACGTCGAACGGTTTCCTGGAGGCGATGAAGCATCAGGCAGCAGCGTTACAATTGTCCAAGCACGTAAAAGAATCGTCGCGATGTTTGGTCGACTCGTCGACGTCCAACAGCATCCTGGAGACGATGAAGCATCAGGCAGCAGCGTTACAATTGTCCAAGCACAGTCCTCAAAATTTGCGGAGAAATACAGCGGATCGTTCAACCTTCACCTTGCTCGTGGAAGATCAATCTCGATGGCGTTGCGAGGATACGTATTCACCTAGAAAGGAACACCCCTGCAAGATAAAGTATTCGTGGCAAGTGGTCGGTAAAGGTTCGCAAACGTCGCGCACGCTTTTGGAAAGTATAATCAAAGCGAACAGCTTCGACGACGAATCGATCCACCAGTGCGCTATCAAATATTCTTGGCAAATCATAGGGATGTCTACGCAAACTTCTAAAAGGGATTTTGCGATTGCAGAAGGTCATCCCATCGCCTCGTTTTCACTCGCTAAAATAAAACGGCCTCGTAGCAATGTTATGAAGTCAAGCGAGCCTGCGCAAACCGTTACAGTCTGGCGAAATGGCAAAAGATTCATTTTATTGAATAATCAGTGTACGCAAACGATCGCCCATAAGACGAATCAAACTACTTTCCTTGAAATTCACAAAAAAAGTTATTGAATGATGAACGCATTGAAAGAAAGAGAAGCATTACACGTTTACCTTTGTTATTCTTGCTTTATTTAGTTTTTATCGTGTCACATTTCAGCTCAAACGACCAACTTAGTTTAATCACACGATTAAGTAGAAAATACCTCTCCTGTTGCGCATAAATGATCATGAAAGATCAAGATGTTGTTTCATTCACCTGTGCGCACGCGGTGTTTCAAATAGTCGCACAATGAATGTTAAGGTGCAAAATGTGCGATTAGTGGCTGACAGTGCCATAGAAATCCTCGAGCGGATGCTTTCGTCGATCCTCGGTAATGTTTCTACAGAATTACGTAACAAACGTTAACGAGAAGAATAAAAATAAAGGGCTCTTCGCGAATGGCAAACGTTATCCCGAACAGCCTCTGCAACCGCAGTGAATGCATTCCACTATTCTACCCTCTTCAAGTTTCCCTTTCGGTACCCGACAAATGCAGTTTGTACCAAAATTTGTGTCTCTCGTTTGTATGCAACGTAAACAACACAAGTTTTCGTATCCGACTTTCTTCCATTTGGCGATCAAGTTTTTATCCGCTATGTTTTCGTTCAAGCAATAGTCGTACAATTCTGAAAAGAAAATGAGCTGGTACAAAGCACGAACGAGGTTTGAATATTAATAAAGCATACTAACCACGACTAATGGCTTTCCGCCTGTAATACAAATCGTATATGTATCGAGATTTTTGATGATGAATTTTAAATATCGGCCATAAAGATTCCTGTTTCCGCTTGCCTTCGTGAGGTTCCGTTTCAGCTATAATTCAAACACGGAACAAGAAATTACGTGGAAGATACACTGTTGAAAAGAAACAGATATTCTTTCAAACGCTTTCCATTCGTCTAACCTCTACGCGATATATTATTACCTTCTCGCATCTTCTGTTCCAATTCCTCTAAAGTTGGCTCGATAAGTTCCCAACCATCTGGTGGAGGTTTTTTGCTTCTTCGTACTTTTGGCATCTCTCTAATTAATAGAAGAACAATATTTAATTACCTCGAGAATGAAACACGTAAGCTTGCCAAGAGGACGAGTTTATTCTTAGTCGAACATAACCTAAAGCCGAGAAAACAACGGAACAACTTGAACGTATCGCTGTTCGATAATCGAATCGAATCAACTCGACGTAACGATAATGCTGCGATACAAAACGCTTCGATACTGTGGAACGAAGAAGGAAACGAGAAAGCGTGCAAAATGTGAGTGAAACGAAGAAAAAGTGACAGGGAAATAATAGAAGAAACAAAGTTTATTGCAATATAGAAAATAAAAGAAATGTGCGTTGAAAATTTTATCGACAAATATTCGACTGACGGACTCAAGCGGTTTCCGGTAACCATATGTCCGACGTACAATCGCCTCCTGGATAGCTGAAAGAAAAAATTGAAATTGTTACAGTCGAACGGAACGCGTAAAGGTATTTAAAAGGAAATTTACCGCATTTCGTGCGCAAGTAGAATGTCGTTTTTGTCCGCGCCAAAATCGACCAGAAACTGTTCGTCAAGCTTCATTCCACCGTTTTGAACGTCAACGTTCAACTTGACCATGGTCGAACCGTTCCTAAATAGCGACGCGTATTAAGTAACGATTATTCGTCAAGTGAAACTGTAATTATTCGATTAATAAAATTACTTGACGTGTTCGGGATAAAATTGTTGATCCCATGGTTTGAAAATCGACGTGGTCACGTATAAGCGTGTCCCGTCGAGGCTTAACTGAAGCATTTGCGGAGATCCATAAAGTCGACGACCTTTGATATAAACAGGATCCGGCTGAGCAGTCAACTCTTCGTCTTGAATTACGCGGACATTCGAGTCGTTGACGATCGATCCACCGAGAAATATTTGACCAGTTAACTTTGGATTGTCCGTGTCGGTAATATCGTATTGTCTGACATCTCCGTGAAGCCAGTTGGAAAGGTATAAGTATTTATCGTCAAGGCTGATCAGGATATCAGTTATCATTCCTAATGCAACATTTATGGGTTACAGCGTTCGATCCGTAATGGTAATACAATGGGAACGAGAACATCTTTATCGGCATACCTGTCATCCACGAACCGACCCAACCTTCCACTTGTTTAGGAGGGATTCGAATAACCGATTTGGCACACCACTTTGAATCCGGTGTTTTATCAAATTTGTAAATATTCGAAGTGACTGCACAACCGACGAAACCAACGGTGGCCTTTGGATCGTGCAGGAATCGAATTTCGAGAGGTGCTATTCCATCCTTGCCAAGATTAATCACCTGTTTCAATTTTCGTTCGCTCCAGGAATAAAAGTTTAAGCTTCTGCCGTAGATTGCTGCGAGAAAGGGGGCGTTACGTACGAAGGTCAGAATGAAGAAAAGGATGAAAGAAACCAACCAGGATCGGAGCTGTCGGCCTCGGTGTAGCCGTTTTTGAAGATCTTAGGCGCGCTCCATTCGGACGCGACTAGGACATCGTGATACGGTTGGTACCAAAAATCGTAACCAAAGCCTGCTTTCTTATCCCCGCGAGTCCAGGTGCCTTTCACCTCGAACGTTTCGGAGTCGATGCAAAGAAAGTCTCCTTGGCCATCGCCGTTCGGTTTGCCCATCGTGGAAATCATAATTTCTCCGGTTGGCGCGCAATGGGTAGTGTGCAAAGTCGACACACCGTGTCGATGCACTTCGCTCGGTTCCAATACCTTTCGAACAACGAATCGATCATTCCTAAATCATTCCCGTTAATTTTCAGACAAATGGCAAACCTTCTTGATAGATGGAGCCCGTTCGTTGCTCGTGTCGATAAAGTAAACGCGATCGGACACGAAACCAGGCAGCACCAAGGTGTCTCGTTTACGCGGTTTATCGTAACAGCTGCTGCAAATGTTCCAACCGGAGTGATGAAGTTCATCGCCGACGTGGGGCATCCGTAGTTTATGGACAATCTGCGAATGATAACAGAAACAGCCGACAGAGAATCGTATCTAAATCGTTTCGAGCCGGCAGAACTGTACCTGACAGTAATTGTTGCTTTCAGGATCTACGTCGACGGTGGAGAGAACATCCGGTTTATTTGGATCCGTGTGAATGCAGACAACGTACATCAGCTTTTCGCGGGGACCTTCGAGCATCGCGGCTTTCGGCGACCTGTACCCGGGACCCACGCAACTCGAGCATTCTGAAACTTTGATGGTAAAACGAAAACTCAACGAGTAACTAGTGGCGATAACGATCAATTACCACTGTACCTTTGTTCTTCAGCATGTTAGCGTCGACTGCAACGTCAAAGAGTGTCGAGAAGATGGGATGCGATGATTTCAAGAGAGATCCAAGGGGAAGGAGGAACGACGCTGACCGGTGGCTAGACCGCTGTGTAGACACTAGCAGATTCTCGCAACTCGACTGACAACGAATACCAGATAACGCGGTCCCAACTGCGACGCAAGTAAGTAGCAATTATTCTACTGGAAGGGGACGCGAATTTACAACACGCAGTCTATAGTGTTACGCGCAAGCGTACATTTGTAAATTCTGCCGCTCGTATCTATTGGACGAATCATCGTCCCGTGAAATTTTAAACGTCACCTTACGCGCGTACACGTGTAGCTATTTGAGCAAACAGAGTACAGATATCTTTCAGATTGCGATGAAAAGTAACATTTATATATATGTATATCTATTTACGGAGACAGAGAGGACGAGTGGGAGAAAGGGAAAAAGACTGACGAGATAGAGGGATACGAAGTAGCAATATTTCTTTGACACTCGAATCATCGGGGCTAATTAATAGGGATACCGATTAAAGTGTTATTTTGAAGATCACACCCGGCTGTGACCTATGTCCGAGGTAGATTCGTGCCGTTTTTGACCAAGTATCGCGCATACTAGAAGATTTTCACGATGCAACATAATCAATCGTGCCAAACGATTTCTCGCTAGATTCGTCTGAGTCGTTAAGCCTTCGTATCCCGAATCGAGTCTGTCTACTTGTACGCTGACATTGTTGATCATTTCCATCAACAGTCCGTTCCTTTGTCTTAATTGAACGTCGAACTTTTTCGATGCTAACAGAGTCACTAAGCCAAGGGCGACGAGTATCGTTAGTCCCAAGAGAGTTCTTTGAGCGAACGTTGTCATCGCTTAGGAGAATCGTTTCGTTCACAATCTTTTTCCATGTCGCGCACCCTCTTCTTATTCTTTTTTCTCCTATCTCTTCATCTTCTCTTTCTCCTGTTTTATTCTCGCAATGGCAACAGTTGCAACGCGATAACACACGATTCTTGAATATATCGGCACTGCTCGATTCTTGGAATATGAGGAAAAAGATAAATTTTACAATCTCTACATTCTAATTATTTTTTTTTCTTCTCTTTCTCTTTCCTTTCATCGCACACCCGTTCCTTGAACGGTCGACGTATCCAGGCCCGATGCTCGATGCTCGATACTCCATACTCAAATTTTCGGGCTAGTCGTTACGCGTTTGTCGTTCTTTTTCTGGCGCTACGCCCACGTTTTTTATCTATTATTAAAGAAGCGATGCGTGGTATGCAGTCAAGCACATTTCGTCCTGTACAATTTTACGTGTTTCACCCTTGCCTCGTTGTGTCAGCTACCGACCTATCATTCTTCCTCCTCATTCTAGTCATTTTATAAATTCCTCTTGCTTTATGCAAATTTATTTTCTCCCTCGAAACAGGCTGTTAAAGAATTTAAAAAATCAAAGCATAAACGAGATTAATGTTTCGTGTAGTTTCTAAAATCATTTGCGCAAAATTAATTTTTAAAAATTCCATCTCTGTGCCATCTATTAAAAAACAACCGAAACAACTCGACGACTTACCGACTTCGGCAGTCTCAAGTTTTTTAATAGATAGCGCAACGGTCCAGTTGTGATATTTTATTGGCAATTTTATTTTGTAAAACAAAGATAGACTAAAGCCCTTAAATACGAAACGGATAATTATATTTTTTGCCTCTTTGCATTTAATAGTAAGTACAACTGTTTATTTATTTGATGGAGGGAATGAGAACAGCTGACGTTCAGTGAATACCGATGAGTGTACCAACCTGTTATTTGGCAAAGGGACACTCGAGCTGTGAACTCTGATTCACACTGTGCGTCAGCCAAAGTGCTTAGTTTCCTCCTCTAAATTCGGGAAGTACATTCCGCAAACTGAGAGAGCTACGAGAAATTTGACCGTTTGCCAGAAACACTTACAAAAAGAGCATAACGAAGCGCAATAAGTTTGACAGAAACTCTGTTGTTTATTTGGAACGCACCAAGTGCGACAAATGAATTTGTAAATATCCGGATATGCAATTAAAAGGTGTAAACAATTTGCTTAGGAAACATTTTTTTTTTTTCATATTAGTTTTCCGTTTTGAAATTACCACCATAAAAGATAACTACCACCGTCATCTTTCGACAAAGTATTAAACCATGATCTAGTTCGAAAGAACCGCCACAGTTAGTGTTGCTACTTGGCGTTAGATGGCACCAGCGGCGTTATTTTCAAATCGCACGTCAATGCAAAATAAAAAGATTTAAAAATAAGTCTTACATGTTTCCAATGACATAAGGATACATTGTGTAATTTTTAACATATCAAAATTCTACTATAAGATTGATTTCACAAAATTGACGACCAGGAAAACAGCATCGAAGAAAAGGAAAAACACTTCTGATGTTTTCTTTCTGAAAGTCGTTCTACTGCGACATATCGAATGACAATGTTTACGGGAAATAAACTTCCCGGCAAGTTAGAGAAGGAAAACATTATTACAACATTATGATTAATGAGCGTCGCTAATAAACAGTACGTAACATCATTAAACTACGACGCACGTGCGATTTGAAGAAATTATTCCGTAACTCGATTATTTTAGTCGCAGTATCGGCCAATAATTTTGAATTATAATAACTCACGAATACTATCATTCGCTGTGACATCTGTCACGAGGATCTGCGCAGGCAGAACTGCGCAGGTAGAACTGCGCATGCGCGTGCATCCACGAAACGCGCACCTTGTATAAATAGAGGCGGTGAAAGTTTGAACGGCCAGTACGGTGCGAAAGAGCGTCGCATACTAGTCCGGAGTGCGAGTAGCTGATTTTTCACGGTACTTTAC